ACAAATTAAAAATTTAATATTATAAAAAAACAAATAACAATTTTTTAATTAAGTCCTCAAATGACCTATGTTTATCTACTTTTCTTTTCATCTCTTTTCGTGGAACATACTAATAAAACTCTATCGTAAAATCCCAGAATGCTATGTACACTTTATCACGCTCTATACAATCATCTTAGGATAAGGCTGTCGAGAAATGGTCGACGAGACATTTCAAATTGCAATTGTTTGTACGAAATTTATCTTTATTCTAATCATTTTATTTTGTTCAATTGTCAGATTTTAAAATCCTGCCTCATCGACTGGAAAAGTGGTTCATCGGAACGATCGGCTCGATGTATAGTGTTTGATGAACCACTCGGCCAGCCGATGGCCGTGTAAAAGGTCGTGTCGTAGTCCTCATCGAATTCCTTTGCCGACGAGTACACGGACTCACCCGAACTGTCCACGCGTTTCACACCATCCACTGTGTCCTCGTCACTCTTCGTATTTGTTTCCTGCAACTTTTACGAAAAAACACTGTATGAACCAGCATGTACAAAATGTATAAAAGAACAATGAGCATTTAAATTATAAAAATATGTCAGAAGCTCGGAAAAAATATTTAATATTCCCAACAAATATTAAATTTTTATTTCGTTTATTTTTTTTTAATTTAGGTAAAAGTAGGATGAAATGCATATTTTTTATAATTAATTTTTTTAAATACATTGAAGAACTTTGCAAATAGGTAATACTGACTTCTAATAAATTTTTAGTTTTATTTTATCAATTTGAAGTTATAGCACTTCCTAAGTTTATTAATTGTTAGTAATAAATTTGTGGAGGAAAATGGACGTAGCTAAAGAGACTCTGGATTTATCACTGGTGGAATATTTATAGGGTGATTTAGATAAAAGAAGGGAGAAGAAATGTTTGCAAGATAAAAGACAATTATGAATATGTCTGACAGAATCTTCGAGCACATTATCATTTGGTTATTTAGAAGAACTTATCTATATAGTACTAAGAAAATCGCTAGTGTTTCCAAGGTCTTGAAAAGTGCTAATTCCAAGCTTTTCGACAGAAGTATAGGTGATTCGCGATAACTATTTAATTGTATAGTGTGTGTTATGGTGAAAGTTCTTAGTCTAGTTATTTTGTAATGTTACTAAATCGTTATGTCGACTGTAAAAAATTGGTAAATTTTAGAAAACTGTAAAGTATTCGAGTTAACGCGTAAATCTCAAAAACCTGCTAATGATTATTCTGAAAATGTGACTTAAAGTTTTGTTGATATATGTGTCAGTTAACATAAGTTAAAATTAAATTAGAATTAAAAATAGACTTAGACTTAAATAAGTTAGGACTAGTTTAAAACAAAAATGGTTGCAATGGAATTTTAAATTCATGTTATATTCGCCATTAATTCTGGTAATTTTACGAAGTCATCGAGGATTTTGCAAAAACAGAGATTTATCACTTTCACGGTAGCGCGGATATATCTATAATTACACACTGATGTCAAGAACGTATTATCTCGTAGGTAGTTACAGTTAATTTTTCTTATTTTTATGGATAAATATAGATTACGAATTATGAACTCAACTTCTTATGGAATTCCATCAGATTAACATCAAAACGATTACAAATTTTTATTAGTATATTAACGATCTACAAACTACACAAATATCTACAAACGTAATTACAATTACTAAAGTACAAAAACAAAATTAATAACAAAATTCTATCGAGCAAAAAGAGAATTATATTTTATCACGAAATAGTAAAATTTTATAGACAATTTGGAAAATTAGAAATATTGGTATATTTTAGTATTTTGTTATTTGGAAAAATTAATATTTTATGATTTGAAATTGTCTTGGGCTCAGGTAAATTACAATCTCGAATGTTACTTTACTAAAAATTAATAGGATATTTTAGATGCAATTTTGAAGAATTTATAGAATTGGATGTGTTGCAATATGTAAGAAAAAAGCTCGATTCATTAAGCAAGACAATCTTGAAACCGGATACAAATAAAAGGAACATTTATTTACACCCTGTGCACCATTATCTATGCTGTTTCTCGTAATTAGATGATTGCGAGTGTAATTTTTTCTCGCGGGGTAGCGTAATAAATGCAGCGCCATATATATCAGGATATTTATATCAAGAAACGATGAACTATGCGTCCGAATTTATCTCTACTTTTTCCAGAGCTATTAATGCCAATTTATGAGATTTCTTATCCACTTCTAATTGTTTCCACGCGATTTATCGAATGAACCGCGCGAGAATTCGAATTGAGCGCCATAACCTCAACTCTATGTTCTCCCTCTTTATGTTCTCTGTTCTTTTCTTTTACTACAAATCATGTAAATACTTTATATCTCGCTCTAATATAACTTTATTTACGTTAGACATCGATGATGATTGACCTTTATTTATATTATCCTTTATCGATTAATGTCTATAATCATTAGTAGGTTACTACATATAACGAAATATATTTCAATGCAAAAATAATAATTTGGATGAATTTCTAAACATTCTAACCAAATTTTTCATGCCCATATTAAACACAAGATAAAGAATGAAAACAAGATTACTACGTATATTATTTTTGCTGAGTTCTTTAGATTCATTACCAGAACTTTTTCGTTGTTCTTGTAAAATTCTTTAGTTTCCTCTTCGATGCTGATCAACTCGGTTAAAGACACTTCCTTCTCTACTTCGTTCTCGCTGCTAGCTAGACTGGATTCAGTACTACATTCGGCAGGCTGGAAAAAATCGTCGAACCACCAATTTTTCTTACAAAAGTCACAACTCAATGTTAGCGTGTGTAATATTATTGTTCCGTCAACCACGATGTCGAATAATTTATTTACATCGATCGTTAAATGCGTAGCACGGAACGAGTTTCAAAACTAAACTGTATTGACACTTTATCGACCGAGTGTTTCACATGAAATATCGACTGGTAATCCCAGTCGATAATTTTTGTTAGGAAATTGACTGATATTCCCGGCAGATTACGCTAGTTTTAGTTGAAACGTCAATTGGCGCCCAGTCGTTAAAGTGTAAACAAATGAAATACATGAATATAGGACCATGAAATGTACAATGTATTTTTATGCATTGCTTACGTTGAAATCAGGATCGTTCGTGCTGTTGCTCATCGCGAGTCTCTCCAGTTTTGCGTGTAACGTTTCATTTTCAGATTCGTCGGTACCCTCTTCGTCTGAACTGACTTGGGAAAATTTGCGTTTCATTTCGTGGTGTATGGGGCTTCCAACAGATTCTGTGGTCGATTTTTCGTCTGGTGTTGCCGCCTATAATCGTTTAACATACTTAAATCAGGTATCTTGTGATTAAAGATAATTAGTAAATGTATAATTTAATCACATTTATGTGATGGCTTGTAGAAATACTTTTCTCTGTAATTCATATTTCGGATTATTATACAATTAATGTGATTATAGGAGACTTTGTAACCATGTGAGATTACAATTTATTATACATCGAGGGTTCCTGAATCGTTCTATACTAACACAAACTCGTGATAATTCTATATGTTATTCTACTTATATTATACAAACATTGTATAAGTGACACTTCTAAGGCTACACAAATGACTGTACTACACGAGTACAAACGATTGCAAAATGCTTACGTACAAAATTGGAAACAAACACGAACTACTGTAGACATGACTGAAGATAATCACGAATTGTTACGAAATAACCCATACACATGTAACATAAATGTTCGACTACTAATGAACTTCACATGAACTATATAATAGTCATTTGCGATTATAAGAGCATTATGAAGTGATGTTATGAAGTTATGACTATGTATATGCAGTGATATATATGTATCCTTATAAATCACTGCATATTTACCACACCATTCGACTCTAATTTACTATAATCGATTGTACAGAAAATAGCACGAAAGGGCCCCGGATAGTGTTAACGACTTGATAAAAATAAATTTGTCTTACCGGCTCAAGATCCATGTGGCATATACGAATTTTCGTCGGTGGTGGCGACGGTGATGATTTAGTCGTATCCAAACAAGACAAAGTCGACAGTGTCAATCTGATGGATCTGATCAGAGCCTTCTTGGCCTCAATCATCGACAACCTCTTGTCCTACATCCATCACCGAGACTATTATCGTGCTAATTTTAATCATCTGTCTAAAGACTAACCGATTTGAAAAAAAATGGCTACTGTCATCGAACACTAGTCGACTAGTATCGACTATCGAATCTCTTCGCAACACATTTGACAAACAATTACGGTATGGCAAATTTACAATTATTAATTACAAAGAATGCGATCTTGGAATATAAACATGGGATTATTTGTTACTATTATAGACAAAGGACAATCGATGGATCAAACACATAGCTATAAGAAAACAAATGCAATGAGAATTTACCTTGGTTAATGACTTACGCCTCGCTGATTTCACTGCCTTCAAATTCAGTGCCCTTAATCGCCTACGATGCTTCTGCACAAATTTCACCTGGGAACAGATTTCGTGCATTTGTTAGAAATATTAATTTTGTGTAATCCGCTAAAAAAGGGATTAGGTATAATTATAAATGATATAAATACAATTATAAATGATATAGGTACAATTATAAATTTCCCTTGAACACAATTTACACCTAAAAATTTAGTAATTTGTATATGTGTGTATTTTATAAATTACGGATCTTAAATTCTTAGCAATTTTAATAATTTCGAAGTGAAAATTTATTTATAACATAATCAGAACAATTGCAGGTTTTGTTAATTTCTTTAAGCTTTAAGAAATACATTATTGCATACCACGGTGCTCGGTTGGATTTGAGGATACCCCAAAATAAAGGCACCTACGTTGAGTCCACCCCTGATGATTCGAAGAATCACCAGTCCTGGGAGGAAGAGGATCCATGGCAGAGGTCTCACAAGCTCTATCTTTCCAAACACCTTACCATTCTCTTCTATTTCATCATAATAGAAATAATTTGATAAAAATTCGTAAATACCTATATTTTTGTTTCATTTTTACTTAAATTCTTTTTAGACTGGTTAAAATAGGTGAAGAGACTTTAAATGTTTCCTAAACATCTTGCTAAATATCTCCCGATTTTCACGCGGAAGCTGCAATCTGAAATTTAATCGAGCATACCAGCCGTGCTTTCCTGAGATGGTAAGCTCCATTGTGCTGACTTTTCAACTACCCATAAGAATGAATCTATGAGCTTAAATAACGTCTGGCCCACGGAAGTTTGTGACGTGGTGATTATCACTGATTCTATCCATCCCGTTATACCTTCTGATGACTTTGGTACCTGGTGTATAAAAAGAAACAGGTTCTTGATATAGTTTCTCTTCTATTTATTCGTTTATTTATTTTGCCTGTAATGACCATTACTTACGGTGATCGTAGATACTTCATTCTCCATGGTTGAGCCTGATCTACAAATAGAAAGTAAATTATAAGTCGATTACTAGTTGAAATAGTAGTCTGTGTAAATAATATAATAGACATAAAAGTTATAATTATTCAAATTTATGAATACTAGTTTGACTTTTTAATTTAAGAATATTCAATTACTGGTATTGAACGTTAATGGTACATAATACAAATTTTAAAAAAATATATTCAATCTCAAAAGTAAAGGAGGATTTATCGACACTATATTTTAAAATTACTCCTCTGTTAAATAAAAAGAATAATTAACTTCATATTTTTCCCTTGCAGTTTTCAAATATTAACCTTACGTTTATCAACAAAAGGTAATTGAGGATCGAAGTAAAAGAATCTTCAATATTATATCCTGTGAAAAAATCGAAGAACAATTTGCTTAAACAATGACCTCGTCTAAGGTGTTATTCGAACAACTTCAAACGCTTTAAAAGCCATATTGGTTAAACACTCGTCAGTGCGGACACTGCTGTGTTAACGAAAGAACGGCAAACGATTTGCAAAAACATTACTTAATCAAACACGTACGTTATTTTTTTTTTCTCGCCTGATATTTGATATTTGACTCATTCTCCAGGATCGTCCAGTACCGTGATTTTCTAATCTTTTCTTCGGCAATGAATAATCTGGAGCTTACAGTGGGGAGCATGTGATAGCAATATTATTTGTAACGTCAGTTCTTTTTATAAAACCGGTATAGATAGTTCTACGTAATTTGTTTAAATTACCCTACATCGACCATTGCCGTGAAGTGTGATTCAACCACCATAATCACGCGGCCTCGTGTTGATTGTTCCGTTGGCGGGAAATTAACGAAATAAACGCCCAATGGATGAAAGGGTATCACAAAATCTCGAGGTTATCATCTATGGAACGCTCATTCAACATAAAAAGTTGCAGAAACATTTTTCTCATTGTGATCCGCCATTGTAATCTACTCCATTTTGAATACACACATGTTGGAAAAAAGAATATGGACATCGCTTCATTTGCCAAAATTTCATTTAAATCCACTGTACTTATAAAGTACACGTGCATTGTGTTGCAATTCAAAGTCAATGTCATAAATTTTGCTTCCTATAAATATTATATATTGCATTTGTTATATTCATAAAACTTTTAAAAATATTTTATACAAAAATATATCTTTTATTTTACAGGGAAATAAAATTTGGTAGGAATTCCAATATTAATATAAACGATATTTAAATAGCGCACGAGAGTTATAAATATAACGTGCTTAAGTAGAGACATTATGGAATAAAGTAAGCATAATTTCCACGGAACTATCGTCGAATTATCAACACATAATAAACGAAGTGCCACTGAGACCATTAGCACGATCTTAACGTGCAATTGTTCGAGCTATAAATGTCGACAGCGTTATGCTAGAATTAGCAGAAATGATAAAGCCATATACTTTCGCTCGGCACAACTTTCGTGATACAGACATGTTGGCCTATGACACGAACTAATAACATTTTCGACTTTGTTCTTAACGGGGGTTGTTTGTCCAGTTCGTTGATGGCTTCACGCGAATAAAACTCTCTTGCATTAAGCCGTAATGAGACGGTAATAAATAAACAATAAGAAATGCAGCGGTGATAGTTCGCTATCGAGAAGGCATGACCCCGTCCTATCGCTTGACAAGCGCAGAAACTCCCATAATACCCTGCTGGAAAACGCGATGTCAGTGGTGTGAAATAAAAAGGGAACCCTTCGTTGTCCAATCAACGATGTAATCAACTATTATGTGACTTCTTTTCAATTTTTTAATGCATCCTTTAAAAATAATGTTTATATAGTTTTTTTTTTAATAAAACGAAATTTTATTATCTATTATTATGAGGGGTAATTATTATTTTTATTAGAATGAATTTGAATATGATTTTTGTAAATAGTTTTGTAAATAGAAAACTTCTTTTTCCAGATCTTAGACACAGAAAAAATTCTCGACAAAGAATATTTATTAAATAGTTCCATGAACCAATTTATTATTTCTTCAACTTATACACCTGTTACTCAAAATTCAACACCTAATACTCAATAGGAAAATAAAATAATAATCTATAGAAGATCATATTTTTTAAAATTAATTCAATAGAGAATTTATAAAAGATACCTAATACTCAATAGGAAAATAAAATAATAATCTATAGAAGATCATATTTTTTAAAATTAATTTAATAGAGAATATATAAAAGGGCAAAATGAAGACGTAAACGTCAAAAACAAATCTAACAGATGACATAACTTCAGCACTGACATTTTTCTTAATATTACTCTACATGTTTGCTTATTATCCAGAACAGAAAGATTTCAGCTGAACTCTCCAAGAATACAAATGCAAACAAATGAGTTATAGAAGCATATATTTTTGTTTATAATTATCGAGTACATATGTACTCGACGAATTATCATGCTAGATTTTCTGAATACTCACGTGAAGGAAAACTTCGTCTCAAGATGTTGAGATATTCTTTCAACGATGAATCATCAACCCGATTAAATCTAATTATATATTTCACGTAATCCTGAGATCGTTTCCATATTCAACGATATAATTACATTTATCAGTAACAAAAATGAGGAAAGCAATCCGTCGTTCAAATGTCAACTCTGACATCACTACAGACTAAACTGAAGTATACCTTAATTGAGAAACTAGAAACAATGTAATTCGATTAAAAAATTACAATAGAAATATTCGAATTGAGAAATTAAAATTACTCTATTCATTGAATACACCAATTTTACTTAATCAGTACAATATATTCTTTTACATATCACTCAGTACATAAAAATCTGGAACAAGCTGATACCGACATTGAAAGAGCTGATGTCTTTATACCGACATAACACTAGAACTACCAGCTTCTAACATGTATCTAAATATGGCACACACATATGATAAATGGTATAATAAAAATGAATAGGTATACATAATCACGTTTCCATATGAGTAAATATTAACATTAATTTTGCCAAAAGCAGCTACCACTAAGTGCAAGAATACCATAAAACCTACCATATTATCAGTCTGATAATCCTAATATTAAACCAGCCCAAACACCAACATCATCTACAATCAAAATTCTTTACGAGTTTGTCGAACAAGAAGAAAACATAATCTAACCATTATAACTCGTTACTTCTATTCTATGTTCACGAATTAACAATTGCTGCAAACAGATTACTTAGCGCCAGTAGAATGGTACGCTGATAAAATAGAATGCTCTAGTGATAAGTAGATAAAGCGAGACTTGCAAAATGCATTGGTACGTAATCATGGTTACAGGACATTATAAAAACGCAAATAGAAACTAAGAAACTCTCATTCGAATCTCACTACTGTCGCAGAGGATTCACCTTCGCTGTTTATCCACCGACCAAGGTGGTTTGCTCGCTGTTCGAATTTCATGAAACCGATCACGTATCACGCATCGGTTGGCGCGAAATTTTTCTCGTCGAGGCCACGACGAGTTTGTCCAGCAAATAAACAATAAAGAAAAGTAACGATAATTTTACTATCGAGAAGGCATGACCTGCTGTTATCCGCCACGAAACGCTGCTACTCCCATAACGAACGCCACGGACGTGAAATAAAAATGGTCAATAACGACTAGCAAGAAAAGAATAACACGACACCGGTTACGAGGGTACATGTATGTAAACAATAATTATTACTCGAATTAGGAGATGAGAAAAGAAAAGTGAGGTTAGAAAAATGTGACTTTGGAAGGGGAAATGTGGAATACGATATCGAACTCAAAGAATTCTTTGTTATTGAATAATACAATTGAATAATTCGATTGTTCAATAGACATTATTATTTGGACGACATCTCGAAGCTAATGGAGTCTCGTGTGGATATTCAGACATTTTCATTCATCATTTATTCGTCTCGTTTTAACTTTTTTATATTATTTTCATTTACTCTAGAAGAGTTTGGCGAGATAAACTACACTGTTTGTTAATTATTTGCTAATTATAATAACGTAATTACAAGCGATTGAGGAGATGTAAACACATAGATAAACATAAACATAAACATAGTTCGATTATAGATAAATTTCATTCTTTCGTCATCGCGCAACACGGAATTTATCATCATTATTTCTATAGTAATTCGGTAAGCTGTTATTCGAGCATCGTTTTATTCCAAAATTCGCGATATATCTGTATACTTTCATCTCTATATACTAATAACATTGCGAAGGAGAAATTATTAAGGAACCAAGTTGGAAATTACCATTTCCCCTTATCGAATCAAATTTTTCTGAGCTATAAATACGATTTAAAGATCTGTCGTGTATATCGCATAAGCCTAATACGTTATGAGTGGAAAATGGTAACGAGACTCACCGAATCGTGGAGAACGAGGAACAGTAACGTCGACGACCACTGCTCACAACCGACTACTACGGAGAAGCTTCACAGAAGTTTGTTTTTCTGTTGTTTAGGTCGTCGAGGGCAGAAGAAATCGAACGGTTACCGAATCGGGGCGAGCTCCGTGAATTCAAATCGTTCTTACGTGAAATTCTGTATTTGCCCTTTCGAATTATCCTACCACTTCATCCTCGGAATGGTAACTCGCCTACTTCAGCGATTCGAACGTCACTCTAATTATTGTCAAGGTCCAGAATAATATAAGCGATGCTACGTTCCTAATAATTATAGTTGGAAATATGTAAAACAAAAATATCTAATTGGAATCGAGATCGATGCGAAGCAATTATTTACTGCAGGATTAATCTCGTTTCCTAAGTAACTCTGCGGTTGCTGGTGAGATGGGTATGTGCTTTAAGCTTGTTAAGTTGACTAGATCTAGATCTGTAATATGTAACTAGTTGCACTATTTATGGATGGTTATAATTAGAGTGGTATAATGAAATTAGATTTGTTAGATACATTATTATTTTTATCACAATTAGATATTCGATATTTCAGTACCCTTATCGCACGAAAGTTAACATTAATTCTAAAAACATAAAAATAAAAACATCTACACAAAGACTTCGATGGTTCCAATGTTGATGACATATTTGAACTCCATTTCCGCACATAGATTAATAAATTAAGTAATTTATTAATCTATAAGCAACAAAGTTAATTTAAATTAACTTAAAAAGCTACAACGATTGGAAAAATCGATATCCAAGTTACCAAGTATCGTTCACCATAAAATTGCATAAAAGAAAAGAACGCAGATCTGCCAATAAATCGCAATCTAAACCGGGATCAATTTCTCCATCCATCAAAACAGATCCTGAACAATGCACACGGTGTATCAAACAACAAAACGAAGCAAACAACTGGACAACACGAAAATCGTTTTGCCAACTCGTTCGAGTGAAAAGACGAACAAGAGAAGGGAAATGGAAAAAAGGAAACTAAATGGAAAAGAAAAGAAATACGATTACTTTGGAACGAAGCACAAAAGTATCCCTCGACCTCGGTTCCGGCAGATTAATCAGTCAGTGGCATCGAACCCTATATCCTACTCAGTCAAGCCGGTCTAATCGACAGGCACCATGAAACAGCCACGGAAGCCTCACAAACGCAGGTCGAAAGGCGATCGACTCGCGACTGGCGCACGCCATCGAATCGGGTCGTCGCGAAGACCGCAGATCGGTCTCGTAAAAATCGCGTTACATAACCTCGCTTCTCTGCTCGCTTCCTGTCGCGAGAAACCGCGAGAAAATCGAGCAAAACGCGATCAAGGAGCGAAAAAAGAACCCAACATTCTTTGGATCTCTCACCTGGTCAAAGATGGCGTCGATCAAACGCCGGATACCAATTAGGTTCCTCCAGAGGAACTTCCTTTCTTTCACCCTTTCCACGCCGCTTGACGGTCCTTTCTGGTCGGCCTTCCTGATCAAGACGACGGGTAGCGGTCGCGACACTCGCGATCGAGGTCTCTACAGCGGCTCGCTGGAACGACTGGCGACGGAGAATCGTCAATCGCGAACCTTTGGCCGGCGCCGTATCTCCGTGGTTTCTTCGTGATCACGCACACTCAGCCACGCCGGAGGATAGTTTCTTCCCGCTACTTCGTAGGTTTCTGCGTCGGGGACGAAAAGCCGGTCTGTCCGTTCCCGATGCCGGTACTATGATGCAACGCGGATGGACGGACGCGAAACGATCGTGTTTGAGTCTTATCTCGTTTGGGGACATCGGTTGAGAGACTTGGGTGCTGAAGATCACGCGCTGTTAGTTTGATGATTCCTCTTGGGAGGGGTTTGTATGTGGTTTGATAATGTCTCTGATGATTGGAAGGTTTCTGTAGTTTTGGGGTTACTTGATGTGTTGATAGAATTGTTTTGGGGTTGAGAGAGAAGTTATAGTACTGCTGGTAGCCACTGACTGTGAGGAATAAAGATACGTTTGATTAATGTGAATTCTAAAACTGATTTGCTTTGTGTTTCTTTGTTGGGTTGAGTACACGTGTATGTTAGAGAATATAAAATAAGGTAGGAACATATGGAGGTACAAAATGTGAAGATATTGTGGAGATACAAAATACTTCTTCATCTCAAAGATAGAAAAGAAAATCATAAATGGTATTTTAAATTTATTGTCAACATAGAAAGAGTTAGGAACTTTTAAACTGATGATTTTCTAAGAAAACTTGTTTAAAAAAATATTACTATTGTAATACTACTGCGCGATTTCCCCAATTACTATTACAATATAAATGCAGATAATTCAGAGAAGAAAATAATTTACATCTTGTCTTTTTATATGTTAACATAATGAAACCAGTCGTCGCAATTGCAATTTGTTAGCTAGCGAAATTGCAATTTTTATTTAGTATATGGCATTCTAAAATTTGTACATATAGATTACATATCAATTTAATTTCTCACAATAGGTGTTTCAAAAAAATCATCATTTAAGATAATGATAAAAAGTTATTTCAAAGTGTTTTTTGATGTTTTTGCATCATGTTTGTATTTCTTTAACGTGTGATTAGTTATGTACCTTATAAAACACTCCCATTTCCTGATACTCTCAAATTTTAATAGTATTAACTTTAAAATCAGCCTCATAAAAACACAAAAAACGCTTGATTTAAATGTAACATACAGTAGCGTTAATCGCAATAAATTAAAAATATTTGGATATATATATATTACAACAATGATACAATAATGCAGTATTTGAAACATCACTGATTGACCCAGATGTATTCTCAATATATGATGTCAAATATGTTTAGAAGAATAATATACGATACGATATTATATTATAAACGATTGAAAAAGATATTAAAAACTATTTTATAATATTTTTCCTTTTAATTCGAAATACTTAAAAAAAATTTATCCTCGTACTAAAAGTTAAAAAAAAAAAAAAAAACTATGCTATGTTGAATCCTATTAAACGTTTATTATCTCACCATTAAAATTTCAAATTTTGAAGCACATTCTCGCGATAAATCGCTGTATACGTACACATAGAGCAATGATCGTAGCACAAGTAAAGTGCATCATATCTCTCTCGTCTTTTGAAAGTTGTTACACCTATTTAATACGAGCATTATATCCTAATCAGACGATAATAACAGTAATCGACGCGTTACCTTAAAATTTATGTCCGATTAATTCTTAAAAGAACTTAAATGTTGAATACATAATTTGTCGTTTCTATTGATTAATAAATCTGATGACATTAATAAAAGACACGCGTACCCAGCCATACCACACACGTAGCAAATTATGCGCATACAGTTTCGCTTACGTGCTTGATACCCTTTCACTCGCCTCTCACTCATTCTTCATCATACAATTTACAAATTTCCTTCGTCAGCTTTTTTTACTTGTTTGACTTTTTATCTTTTCAAAAGCTAAGCGTTCCTTTGCGCTTGCAACGTAATTTTATCAATTATGTCGTACTGCTTGGAGATACACTTTGCGTTTGCTCTCTAATAATTCGAGTATTTCCTCTGTAATCTCAAGTTTATCGCTGGTTTTTAAGGCCATTCTCATTCTGAAAGACGGATCATGGAGATGCGAAGATGCTTGTGTCCTACTTGCGTGAAATAAATATCTGCAAATGAACTAGGTGCATCGATTTAAAATTCAATGTCCAAATCAAACAATCTTTCGCATCTCCAAAATTCAATTACGGTGGAAACGGAAGTGAATATCATCGTCGCTTTATTCGTATCATACTATATCTCGAGAAACACATATTTGTATTTCCGGAGCATACACTGTCGCATGACTTGTTTTAGATTTTAAATCGCAATCGCATTTACGAATTTTACAATTATATACTGGAAGTTTCAATAAGATAAAAATTATTTAAATAAAAAAGAAAAAACAAAGGCGCATGTAAAACTTGAAAAATTTAATTTAATTGGTTTCAAGAATCAGCTTCGACATATATCGTATATCGTTTCACATCTACAATTGGCAAAAATTAATGGTTTCAATATTAACAAATAATCGATTGTATCATTCGCTTTGCGTCGCAATTGCACAAGGTAAATGACTGGAACAGGTTTGAAACAGTTACTATAGATTATGCGTTCATACAATCTACAGTTTCGGCAAACTACAACGAGGTACGAAAGGACAAACCGACGAGATTTCATCTATTTATCAATAAAAACAGTAGTGCATTTACAAACAAAAACACTCACACGTTGTTGAACATAGTTAACATAAAATCACTGTATAACAAACTGGATTCAGATAGTCCTCGAGTATCTGCATCCAAAAATATTTTCCTTTCTTTTCCTTCATATTTTGAGACTTGTCGATGTTCAAAGCTCTACCGTTATCTTAATTACGATAAAGAACTATGACAATATATGAACTGCTAATTCTGTTTTCCTTCTTAATAATTACTTCTCATAAAGTACAAGTTATTCAAGTGCATTATTCAATGTACTTTCTACTCTAATTATACGTGCGAATCTTTTAATGAACTCTTAGTGAACGTTTGTAACGAAATGAAGGCGAAAATGCTTAAATAGCTATACAAAGTAGCTTATCAATTATGCGAAGGGTACTGATACTGGCTCACAAATAGAATAAACTGAAACGCACTTGGATAATTCGCTGTCGTACTTTTTATAATGATTGTACAAAAAGAGTGAAGTTAATATTCTTCTTCGTCATCAGGCGCAAGACCATCTCCTTCTAGTTCTTCTGGGGGTGCAAATCCTTCCTAAGTAAACAAAGTAATAATAACAGTGTAAAATAATACAGTTTAATATTACGAGCTGTAATTTATTAGGAGTGTACCTCGGTTGCATAAAGGACATCTAAAATTTTCTGTACTATTGGTGGAGGATCTCCGTTATCACAATCTTGGCACATAACTTCGATATCACGTAATTTTCCAAAGTAAAAATCTCTTTCTTTCTCTAGCCCCTCTAGTGACATTTTTAATTCCATCAACTGTAAATAATTATTATTATATAGCATGAAGGTATAAAATAATTATTCAAAATAATTCTTAATTTCATTCATACCTGTGCACTGAGTTCATCAATTTTTCCAGACTCGCCACGATTTCCAACTCCTGTTTTCGCTTGTGGACGATGAGCTGGAGCTTTGTTAACTAAATTTAAAATTTGATACATCATTTGTATAATTCTTTTTTTTTTTTACTCATAATTATCTCTACAGATGCAATATGACACTTATTGTATTTACATAGATATGAATCACAAGAAAAGAGAATTTATTTAATAACAAATCTATTTTAATATTAAAAGAATACTGTGTAGACATTCTTATAAGCAGTGTTAACTATATTAAATGACACAAGCATAATCATCTATACAGTGAACTGTACAATAAAGAAAAATAAAGAGCATGCATTAATCTAATTATTCACAGCACTTACAATTAGCAAATAAATAAAGCAATATTTACATGACTTCATAAATAGTTAAATGAAGGATGGACAACTAAAATTATAAATCTTTTTTTTATAATTTTATACTACTTTTTCTTTGTTGTTATTTTAGTAAGAAATAATATACATGTATAAAATAATGACAAGAATTCTAATAAATCTATTAAATAAACCTTCCTTTAATACCTCCCAATAATAAAAACAAAAATAAATAAGAGAAACGAGCATAAAAATATTGAAAAAAAATAATTACTAGACTTGACGTTAGCTGCAGGTACAGGAGGCGAAGATCCCTCACCTGAAGCGAAATTTTTTTGATTGTTATTAGGACACACAAGCTCGTTGTTTTTTCATATATACAATTTAAGTAAAGAAAATTTGTATATAACAAAATAAATAAATATTTGTCTATCTATCGAAATTCTTAGCTTGTTTATTTATATCTTCTCTAATGGTTACTTTCAAATAAGCAAAACCAAACCATGTTGATTGTAAATTAGAGGGAAATTGATGTTAATTTAGTGATTATTCTTAAAAATAAGTTACTTTTAACAAATTTTCACGTTACGTTTAGTGGTGTAATTTCAAATTAAATAAAAGAAAAAGTTGTGATATAATGTACCAATACGAGCAGCCGGTTTAGACGAATTTACATCACGTGGTGTGGTGCGTTTTGCATTAGTGCCATGCGGTGCATTATTTCCACCACTACCCATGGACTCTCCTCCTCGCATAGCAAGTGCATCGTATGCCTCTGTTCTGGAGTAGTTTGCATCAAAGAATTTCTTGAACCATTGCAAAAACTCAAAGTTGTCTTGGAACCTGCCTTTCACCAGTTTATCAATTGGAACAATCTGCAAACGATTGCAAAAAGCATATGGAACAAAGTAACAAAAAAATTTATAAATTAACATAAAAAAATCTTGATGTAATAAAGTGTTGACAGTATCAATAATTTTTATAAAAAACCTAAAGTATCAAACAAAAAAGTGAAAAAAAAAGACAAGAAAATAATAATAAAGCAAGAAAAAAAGGGAATATTAGTTTATGAATTTTTATAAGTACTTTATTCTTAATTTGGAAATTTATAAACAGAAGATCTGATATTAAATTATACATTAAATTTAAAATCATAGTATATCTAACAAATTTTAATAAAATTATAAATTGTATATCATATATTGTATACCAACAAAGCTTGTGTTCCCTAGATACATTATGAAGATTAAAGAATATCCAATCTGTTCTATTCTCCTAAGACAATCTGTTCCTCCCTACTTGAATATATTTATAGACTGTTAAAAATAACATTCATGATACCATTCTACCACTATAGTAAATAGAAATTTTATTCATATATTGATGAATATGAATATCAAGCTGTTTATGTTTAAAGCATGTGCAATACTGACTATTGCAAAACTTAACATAATGGGGAAATAAATATCTGCTTACATGTGAAATGGATAAACAGTATATAGAGATAATGTGATATAAAATACCTTCAGTTTGTGTAACTATACATTTGTATGTGATTAAAATTGCAAAAGCAAGTGGTGCTTTCTACTATACTCAAAATATACATAAAATATGCTTTATGAGTGCAATTACATATGATCATAATAGATTTTAATGTAAGAATTAAATCATTTTTTTATCTATATGGGTAAAAATATATATATGACATGCAAAAAGCAAAATTACTAAATTAACACCATATTGCTGTACCCTGTTGGCGAGGGGCAATGTTACGTTGCTGTGTATGCTTTTGCTGGATTTGCGTCTGCTTTGATTGAGGTGGTAAAGGTACCAACTGAGGATTTGACAAATTATGAGTTCCATCAACACCAGAACCCAATGGTATACAACCACGAGCTTCATAAGCATCATATTCGCGGCCATCATAATTTGCATCAAAGAACTTCTTGAACCATTGTAGAAATTCAAAATTGTCTTGAAAGCGGCCTTTTACCAATTTGTCCACTGGTATTACCTGAACCATTTTCATAACAACTGAATTATGATTTTGTGCTTATTGCACTTTGTATAACACTTTTCAATGAAGCAATATGATTCCATACATTGACAGAGTATCTTGTTTCATTACTTCAGCTTACCTTGACACTAGTGTCTTATTTCATTAATATCTATATCAAACTATAATATTTTCTAACTTTTCTAATAAATCAGGCCTTATAAATATAAATGATGCTTTTAATTTTGATGGTATTATTGTCAATCCCACATTTCCTGATTACTATATAATATCACACAAAAAACTAAATATTAAAACATCCCAATCAATTAATTTTAAAAGAATCCTCAAAAACATTAGAAATCTTTTACCTAATATTCACTGCATAAATATATATCTATCAATACATATACATATATCACTTACCTTATCTACATTCATCTTTTTGAAACCACCTTGCAAAATTTTGAAATTCTGTATGTACTCGTGCTCAAGGTTAGTCTTGAACTTGACCCTCTTCAATGGTACACTTCCAGGAAAAAGCATATCCATAAATTGACAATAAACAGCTCCAGTACATAATTCTTCAATCTTGGTGAACGATGATTGCAGACAGTCATTTACCCATGCTAACATATCATGTCGACTCAAATTCTCAGTTGTCACATTTGTTGCATAAACATTAACAGCCATATTGGTCTTCCTTCAATCAGTAACTAAAACATAAAGATTTAAAAATAAAAGTAATAAAACATACAAACAAATTGTACGTTATCAATGCACTAATACAAACTAAAACGTATATGTTACACAGAGATACAATCAGTTCAAAAGTCCATCGTTAAACATAATGACTTAATATAGCAATTTTATTGAACAATTGTAAAGTGATCACTGATATCCTTTAACCGATTGATCTCGAAGCAGACTTAAAAGGAATAACATTCCATTCACTTTTTTGGCTCGAAACACTGACCGTCGACATATTCGGGGTTCTTTCTTCGACGTGCCACGACTTCAATGTGCGCATATTTTTGTAATAAATAACACTATCAAATAATTCAAAGCATAAAAACGAATTTTGAGGCATTTGGCCCTCTTTTTACCCTTAAGATAATCTTATAATAGCTTACCGTGTATCGCGGAAACACCGTAACACCAATCGGGAGTGGTTCCCGCACGCAGATGACAAATGAGTACTAGATCGTTCAAATGCGCACACAACGGAAACTTCTAACGGTTCCTTCGATAACGATTGGATGATGCACGTGTACTGCACCAGATTTCGTCAAAAAATTATACGATTATCATGAAGATTCTTCTTTTGTGCTTTTTCTCGAACGTATTTATTTTTACCGCGTATCCGATCTAGCTATTCCGTCGAATCGACCGCGTAGCAACAAAAATTTCACGCGTCTGTCAAAGGAATTAACAAACGAACACAACCGCACTCTAGAGATTTCAGTCGCCGGCAGATGAGTTCGTTGCTCCGAGATATGTTCAAAACCGAAGAATTCGCGATATCCGTTAACAGAAGAGATAAAACGTTTAACCCTGACTCACAAGGTGTGTACCATTTCACGAAGGCTACTTTATATTCGCCAATCACAACGGTCTTCTTGGACAAGAGCGCCAAACGTGCAGCTATCTCAAATTTTACTATCGTTCAATCATTAAGGATTGGTAATCTGTAATATTTCGCGGAAATATTTCAAACGACATAAATGAAATAATTTAAATATAAATATTTTTATGAGACAATAAATTAAAAATAATTCTGAAAATGCATATTTTAATAATGTATTGTTATTTCATGCAATAAATATTCAGATATAGTACAATAAATAAAATTATTTTTAAGTTTTCCATTTAACTGATGGCAATCGTAACGCACTTTCCGCGTAGAAATATTCTTCTGATTGGGGTTGTAATTTCGTTTTGTATTCCAACAATGCAATACGATCTGCTTGTTGTACAAGTATCTATAGAAAAAAAGAAAGAGATTAATATATGAATTAAACTTATTTCAAATATTTAACTGTTTATGTGCTCACGTCAATTGCTACTCTAAAACAATGCATATTTTTTGATAACTCCAATCGTCTTTCTATATTATCGACGTATTTTAAATATTTCTCAAGAATCTCAGGGGGTGCTTTATTTTTATGTAATATCTTTACTACATCTTCAATAGGAAGATGAATTTGTAACTTTTTACTCCCTAGCCATCCCTAATATATTAATAGTATATTATTATATTCGTTATATTATTAATTATTATCAAATTATTAAATTTTAATATAAGACATGTTACCTTTGTTAAAAGTAACTGATCAACATCATCCCATTCACTGGCTGATGCTTTAACTTCTAATACAACTTTTTGATACTGCCTAGGCGACACATCATGCTGTTGTGACAAAATAGTAGGAGACATTAATGTACTCTTTGGCAAATTCCAGTTACCTTTACATGCGTGCCTTAGGCAATCAAGAATAGCTGAATTTAGTTCAATGTTTTCATTTTCATATATATTTTTCACTGTCATTTGCCACTCTATGATTACATTAATAAATATCCATTTAATACATACTTGTGAAGTGAATTTCTGATAGTTATTTTAATAGTTAAAAGGAAGAAAGAAACATTACCAAGTAACTTTATGTAGGATTGAACAAACAAAGTTTCCTTCAATTCAGGTACAGCTGAAAATTGGGTTTTATAACTGTTCCGAAGTTTGTTCAATAGTCTATCAGGATCTCGAGTATTTTTTATGATAATATGTAAGGTTTTCATCTAAAATATAACAAATGACTTTGGTTTTATACAGAGTTATAAATTTTGTTATATCAAAACTTACAGCAGCATCCACTGATTGCCCTAACATTCTGTAGTGATAATAAATTAATTAGAAAATTAAGAAATGCAAGATGTACAAAATGTAGTACTTCAATACATACGTCAAAATATCTGTAATTTCATTTAACTGTAGCCTTGTGGAAAGATATTTTATATAAACATTCACAGCATCTGGTCTTTTTGCTAATATTCTTTGAACCAAAGTTCTCTTAAGAGTTTTTATAAGAAATAAAATAATCTAAAATATTTCTTTTATTTATTGTATATTAAAAAAATATTATTTTATAACTATAATAATTATAATACTAAAAAAATTACTATTAAAATTGCATTTCCATCGCCACTTAATATTGCTGCATCTAATAAAGCAGTTTTACTAGCAAGTGATTTATATTGTTCCAAAGAATATGGTTGTCCAAGTAAAATTTTTCTGAGAGTAATATCTGGTTGCATAGCAGCTGTTTCTAGATGAAAATTTTGCTGCAATTTATCTGTTGCTAAAACTATGAAATATAAAATATTTTCATGTTAATGTATAAATCTGTTTCTACTGCTTTTAAATTGCTAATCAATAGAAATGAAAGTTTATACTACTGCACTGAGAATCTTTATCTATATATGATTTTACTGACATACTGCAAGAATAAGAGTGTTTTTTGAGATAACAGATAAAATAGGCTTAAGTGGTTGATAATCAGTAGTAGTTTTTAAAGATCCTTCCGATGTTGGTGTATTCGAAATACCGGCCCATAATTTATCTGTATCAGTTTTTGATACTCCAAACAATTGATCCACCTGCTATTAATTTTCGAATAATTAAAAATGACAAACTAGTACGAATTAAAATTATTATTCTCGTTAATTGTATTAACTTAACCTCATTGTTCTCAAAACAGAATGATCGTTTCTCGCTACTGTACCAAAAATCTTCGTCATCTTTAGCAGAAGTCATAATTTTTAATATATCCCAAATAAAAAAATTTACGTATTTATTAATTACACTTGAACATCTATTACCAAATCACAGACAAAATATAACGTAGATCATATATCTTATGTTGACTTTGTGTCATACAAAATGAACGTATCAATCTTAAAAGAATTAAATTATATTTTACGCCCTCTACGATCTAGAATGGTAATTTTAGGATTGAGACATCATTATTAATATAATATTAAAATATATTAATAATTATAAATAGTACACTATTGATTAACAGCAATATTTTTTCTTCTTTTATAATCGTTTTATATATACAATATCAATTTTTAATAATGAAATAAAACTTTATTAATACAATTTGAATTTACATGATATAAATAAAAGTTTATTTCCTTTACTTTAAGTAAAAGTTTTGCAAAGTAAATGCTTTTTTGTTATATAATTTCGGGAATCATCTGGGCCCCTTACTGCTTCAGTACTATATATGACATTATCGATTTAATATTTAGAAAGACCATACGAATTTAGGAATTATATTCAACGTAACTTGCATAACCTATAAATTATATTTTTAACATCACCTTAGTAAAAATAATTATAATTTTAATAAGGCATTAAAGATATCTGAAAGTTATTACATGTTAAGATGTTGTAAATAGCCGTTAATGTTATTAAATAATTAAAAAATAAATAACATTTATTAACTAATTAGTAGACAATAGAATGTTTATTATTATAACTGTAGTAATTATTATCTATATTATCTTGTCACTATTCTTAATTGACAACTTTAATAGGTAATACCGTACATAAAATTCCTAGATAATGACCATTATGAACTTCATCTACATTTTATTATTCTATATTATTTAAAATAAAATTTATTAATATATCCTATCAAGCCAATGTAATAACTATTCCTTCTATGTGTTTTTTTAATAATATTTTTTTACGTGGTGATGGAGATAACTGAATAGTCACAATACAACATACGATCTATTTATTATTTACAACAACGTACCAATGTTACACAAAATGTACCACATCGTGTTTTTATTTAAATCACTTATCACACAATTTACAAAATGTTACTCATTCGCTCGCTATTTAAGTTCAGCTCGATAAATGGACTGCATTTAGAACTCGTTCTCATTGTTTCTATGGGGTTTCGTATTCTTTGGGCAAAACGATGTACATAAGGGAGGAATAGCAAATGTGATAGACTTTATGAAAATGAGTACTATGTTTCTTGTGTTGTTAGAAATTCATCCCATAAATAGGTTCGCGACAACAGTATTATTTTTATTATTTTGGATTTAAATCTCACTTTGCGTGTGTTGGAATATAGTTACATGACGTCGGTAGTACAGAAATCTTAGTAATTTCCCTATTAATAAATATATCCGATTAAAATTAGTTTCTCTTCTCCTTTGCGATAAATTCGACTCAAGCTTTAAAAATTTGTATTCAACTGCAATTAGTTAACCAGATTAATAAATTCATTTTTATATTAATTTTATATTAATTTAAGTGATTATAGCGAGCCATAAGATTTATTTCTGTCAGGCAGCATTCTTATAAATTATATAAACTTATAATAGCTGCAGAAAATTTAATTCACTTAGGTATAGCGTGTTAAAAATGTATCATGCCGTATATACAATTGTAATTGAAAATGGGAACAATTTTTCTACGAACAAAAAACAGTAAATTTTACTATATTTTTGTTCTTTTCCTTTGTTATGCTTTACTCTTACAGTATTTAAAATTTATAACAAAGATAACTATGTAGAGACTTCTGAACATTACTGTACACGTAAAACGACTTTAATTCAATCAACAAAAATTATACACAATACTTCGAAGTTATAGAACAAAAAAAGAAACGTTATCTCGAAAACACAAGCGTACAAAGTTCTGAGATTCGATTTATGAATTGCGCGCGTAATTTAAATATACGACGCTTGAACTCATTCAGTACATTGTCAAAGAAATTCGTTCGCTTAAAATATAGTTTTAATTCATTAACATAATATTTAACATTTAAAAAATTTAATAACTGTACATACTTTAACAAGTTTGAAAAAAACTTCAACGTTAGGTCGCTCGTAATATATTGTCGATTAGTCGAAGTATTCAAAAGCTTCTCCGATGTTTCATGTGTGCATTCGATTCTTTTTTTACAACAAACAAAATATAGTATATATTTTACCGTAACAACTATCCAATCATTCAGTATTAAAATTCTTTGATTTTAATACTACACCGCAATTTTACGCTTCCCCTAAAATATTAAAATATTAGTAGCCATTCAGCCAAACAACGATAGAAAAAGATTTGTCAGAAGTAACTAATAAAAAGTTCTTTTCAACCCTTTCGCTACTACGAACGATTATGTTAACATACAATTTTTATAGATTTTGATAAAGTAGTTTAAGAAGAAATGGTAAAAAGGGGCACGAATCATATATCAATTTGCGATAGTAGATAGTGTGTTCTTATTTCAAATTTTATCTAGCGAATTAGATAATTTGTCACAGTGTAGATAACTTAAAAAATAATAAGGATTTTAAACATATAATACCACATGATGTCGGGTAAAGATGGTTGTAACGAAAGGATTCAAGAAATTTCATCTTTCTTCGTAACAAACGAAGCTTGGTAAAATGTTCAGTGAAATGTAATCGAATTGAATAAAACTATTCCCGATCTCGATTGAAAACGTTAAGATTCACACGTACACGAAATATCCAGCGGGAATAAGAAAATCGCACAGCTAACTTCTTATTATGGCTAATAAACTATCTCGAATAAAAGTTTAAAAAGTTTGTGGGTACGACCGTGACGAATGGATGTGTGTTAGGGTTCGTTCTCGACCACTAAAATCTCGCCAGCGAGAAAGAAACGTAGTTTAAAATCCGAATACAACAACCTCTACTTTTCGCGAACCTTCAATCCGTGTTTTTAATATTTTAGAACATGTCTAAGTGCTTTTCATCTACACTACGTTGTTTTTCTGTTCGACACCTATAACTTTTGTCTTTATTCCACGCATTTACACTTAAGTTAGGTTATGAAGTAAAATTCATTTTCACTTCTGGTCCTCTATATCTCTACTAGAGAAGCTTTAAGGTAAGCTTTAACCTACAATCGGTAACAATGAATAAAATTACCTTAGCTACCGACCTCAAAAATACGTTTTTCTGAATAATTCACTATCTTCTTTAAATTCTTAGCACAGGAAATGTACAATTGTTTACTGTTATTTTTATCAATTTTGACTTATTTTTTAAAGGTTAAAAGATCGGTTGCAATATAATTTTTTATCGTAATTTCTAATAAATTGTTGAACAGAATTATTTTCCCAAATATTGTAAATTGTTCTCAAATTTCAATTTTACTCAATTTTATAGTAATTGGAAAGAAAATTATGGGATATATAAATTAATAGATGAAAAGCACATGTTTCTTGTGATGCACACACAGATGACGAGCATGGACAGCCGAAAAGGTGGACGGATGGCTGTATGATGTTCCTCTCACTTTTTCTAAGTTAAGAACGAGTCTGGACGATTTATGCCCCCGAATTAGAACGCGAACCCTGCCTCACCATGTTTTTTGATTGCACTTTACCGACCGTTAACACTGCGCATTGCACGGGGATTACCGATTAAGAAAATCGTGAATTATGTTTCGCTTAATCAAGCACTCGTTGCTCTTAATTATGAGAAATTCATTCAAACAATTAGTATCATACTTTACATGAAAAATCATAAAAAATAACAAAAATTCTAACCTACAAAAAATTCGAATTATGTTATATAAAAAAGAAATCGTTAAAATAATAAAAAATAATAGAAACAAAAATAACTGAGTTATTAAGAAAGAAAGCAACTTACCGAAAAACAACGAGTACCACGGATGGATCGTGATATTTTTTAAGTAAAATTATAGTCGGTCAGTGTGTATGCGTGAAAAAGTACACATAAACGATATCTATCCATATACCCGAATGTATACACGATAATTTGCACGCACACCTTCACCTGCATAATGGACAAGTCGCATGTGCGTGCGTCACACACACTAAACGCCTAAGCGCAGCGCGACCGCGTACACATAATGATACAAAGTGTTCCTAAAGTCCATAAGATCTCGAATCGAAGACGCAGTTGAGCTCTCATATTACTGTTCTACTGATACTGCGCAAATTTTCTGTTCTCTTATTATTCTACTCACATACACATTCGTTTATATATTTATATGCATATATGTATATTGATCTAAAATCTATGCAGAATAATCCACGAATCACAATCACTTCAAACATATATATATATATATTTTTATTGCAAAAGAAAGTGGCAATATTAAAAATTCCATAACCTATAATTTCATAACCTGAAATAGGAAATTTCAGAAGTGTAAGAACTAATGAATATTTTTTCTTCGTCATAAATTAAAAAGGTATTTAGAATGATTGTGATACATGGACCACTCTGTATATCGGTTAGACAAAACGGCGTAGTACATTGACAGAATTTCTCTATACTTAGATACGTTAAAAATCTTCAATTCGAGGTATTATAGACTTTGCAGAAACTCTCTGTATAAATATATATAAAAGTAACTCCATAACATACAATAAATCGTATCTTTGTTTGGCACATTTCGTCAACTATAGGATCCGTACAAGTACACGTATATAAGTATACATACGCTTTATACTTGTCATTTGGTGTATACGCGTATGTATATATAAATATATATATAATATATATATATTTATACCAACTCGCTTTACTCTCTAATAGTTATATATATATTATATATTATAGAATACGTACAAATATTCCATCGGAGTAACGATAGTATGTACTATTTTATTTTTCCTTACGGTATGACTGTGTATGTGTGTGTGCGTATATATACACATAAATATTTATATATTTATATGTATATATATATATGTGTATATATATATATATATCTACATTTATCCTTTACTTTCCATATTATTCCATTGAGTGTGTTTATCGATCCTATCTACCTCTAGAAAATTATAAGAGGAACGTAACAATCTGTTATTCTCCGATACAATATAATATATTACGTTTTTGTGTCGTTAAAACGTCACGCGCTTCGCCGAACAGAGAATAGGCTTGGCAAGCGTGGGAGTTGCACTCTCTCGCGAGTCTTTTTTAGTCTCTTTCGTTCACGATCGTCTTGTTTGCTCCATGTGTGCTTATCATTCGAGTCCGTCTTGTAGGTAAAACAGTGTGAAACATGGAAAAGGGGGTCTCCAAAAGGGACGATAGATGATGCCACTGCGTTTTAGGACGTAGACGTAGGCAAATGGCGGATCGCAGAGTGTGGAACGAGTAAAAATGCGCGTTATGTTATTCTGGTTTTGTAGATATACATGTCTTGTCGATTTTCGAAGCTCGATGACACTTTCCTTTTATCAGAAGACCATCGAAGAACATTTGTGATTCGCGTGATTGAAAGCGCAACTCCGTGGACCCATTCAGAAAATCCGGCCCGCAGTCGGAATATATTTTTTTTAATTTTTTTATTTCATTTTTACTTAAGTATCATTCGATAGGATTTTTCGTATTTTTTCGCTTAATTTTCTCCGTTTTTTTGGTTTTTCTCATTTTGTCTAAATAAATATATCCACGAACAAGGCACTGCTCGACAGGCGGAAGTGTGCGCGCGACACCGTTTCGTCGTTGTTGGATGTTTGGATATAATACACCGTGTGGAAAATTCGCGTCGATCTGTCGAGCTTCTTCGAGCCGTTTCCTATCGCGAAACGTCGGGTAAAAAGTGGTCGGGATGCGTTTTAGAATATTATCCATGTGAGTGTGAAGCACTGACGACTCTTGAGTTTGGGGAAACCTTGTCTTCACTCTTTAGAATATGGTAAATTGCTGGAGTCTTGGAGGAAACGTACGCTCCGAACCATAAATTTGTAAATTGAAAATTGAAAATTCAGATAAATTTTTATCCCAATTTGATAAAGAAATATTATTCTTCCTATAGCGTTTTGATTGCATTTGTCGATAAAGAAGAGTGTTCAATTGAAATATGCATGATTATCCCCAAGAGCAACTGTGAATATTGGTTGTCATTTTCGCTCTGATAGAAATTGAAGGCGAAGATAAAGGCGTGGCAGTAAACCAGGTTATGTTAACTCCCCTGATATTGACTATTTAATATTTTAATTATAAGAATAATATCGAAATAAATATATTTAAAAATATGTTGCAGGGCAAGTAATTATCATAAATAATTTCAGACAGAGAAAAGCTCCAATTATGTGAGAGACCATTAGTGGTTAACAGATTTGAAATAAATTATAACCACATGTGAAACAAATATGACATAAATTATATATTCCCAATTCATTGGTCACCTTAACCTATAACCACCAGAAGAGTTAAACAATATGACCAATAGTTGTGCCATTATTTTCACCTCATATTTTCTTCAGAGTGAACGCAAATATAGAACGTCGTCAGAGAGCGTTTCGCCCACTGGCAGGTCGGCGTGCGTTATAAAGGGAAGCACTTCGTCCGTTTCTGGGCAACGGTGGATCGGCAGTCGACCTTAGAACCTAGGGTGAAACTCTCCGGCTTGACCGTCTCTTCGACAGAGATCTTTCCGAGTCTTTTTTTCACTCGAAAAGGCGTTGATCTAGGGGATATAATCTCATAAAGATCGCTAGTCCTTCCCTGAATCTGAACTCTACCTTTTGGACTGCTCGCCTTTTGGTCAATAGGAATAGCAATATCGACTTCAGCACAATGATTCTGACTCATTCCCTTCGGATCGTTTTTCTCCAAGTCAATACCACGTTCTCTCTGATTAGTTTCATCTGATGGGGTGTTGAATACGTCAGACGAATAACTCTTTGAGTCACATATCAATGCTAGATCCGAGTAATCGATCGTTTCCTCAGCCTCTGACGGTAAATTCCTGGTAGAGGCCAAAGAAATGGCTCTAGCTTCTGGTTTTTGTGGCTTCTCGTCATCAGCATAGTCTAATGATAAGCACTTCTTCTCAAATAGTGCTGGACCAGGAATTTTACCGTTAGATTCTTCAATTTCCGTTTCCTTCTTTTCTTCTTCCTTATCTTCGTCTTGGACTCCATCAGACTGTCCTTCCTCTGTTTTCTCCAACGAATTGATTACCTTTGATGGACGGCGAATACTATTTTCTCGTTCAACAGACAGACAGAATTCCTTGTCAGTTAGCAAAATACGCTTAGGCTGTCTAACTGGTTTTTTATCCAATTCAAGATCCTTCTCCCACGACGGAGTCTTTAGCAAACTCTTCACCTTCCTCAGCTCAGTCAACAAATCCATTGTTTCCTGGGACGGTTCGTGGAAGATTCTTCTCTTTGGTCGCCTTATAGATGAATTAGTATCTAATTCTTGATCACTAGCATGGTCAATTCCCTGCTGCTTCTTCAATACAGATCTAACTGTACCTCCTTGAATTCGTACCACTTCGTTCTTGCCATCAGAGGACGAATCTGTTTCCATCTTAGCAGGAGTTGAACTGACCGACGTTGGCGTTTCTTCTGTCTGTGATTTCGAATCTTTAGAACTTTCATCACACGTATCCGGTATAATATTATTCGCCTTCAGTTTATCCTGTTGCCGTCCAATTATACTCTGAACATTACCCCTTGTGCGTCTTTTGAAATCTGCATATGTTTCAGTAGGAATTTCATGGTATCTAAATTTATCTTGAAGTTGTTTGAATGTTTCCCGAGTGTATTCGTGACTCGTTTTATGCGCTAGAGAATCTTCCGACGTTGCTTCTCTCGTTTTCTCAACCTGGTCTCTCCCTTGGTACCTAATTGAGGCAATGGAACGATCCTTGGACAAGAGATTGTCCGAGGAAATGCCACGCCTCTCAAACTGTGCCTGCTTACTCGGTTTTTCATCATGATTTTTGTCATTTCTGTCCAGCAGGTCTTCATAAGTTTGCCTTCTAGTCTTCATTGGAGAATAAACATTTTTTTCTGAGGAGTCAGCTTGTGAATCATCCTGACTTGGCAGAACGGAAGAGATTGGACGTTTCATTGGCGAATTGGGAACGCTGTCTTGAGCCTGTTCAACGTTCTGAGAACTTTGAATAACCTTGCGATGCGTGGGCGTTCTTGGCATCGATGTGTCTCTTTTCAGTAGCCACTTTTTTTTCGGTGAGTTGCCCCAGCTATTAGGCTCCTTGTCAGAACCGAAACTTGTGTTGGTAAAAATGATCTCCTCGCTAGTTGTAACACGACACTTTAACAATTCAGCACCGTTGGTGGCTCGTTCCTTTGATTCTGGTCTAGGCGACTCGTCAGTCGTGGTGGTTTCCAGTGGTAAAGAACTAGGCCCAGAGTCTAGAACATCATCCAAGGAAGCACCTCGAAGGGGATCTCGATGTTCCTTTACTTGGACAGTTGATTCTAGGTCCTCAGTTTCAAAGGAATACATCTTCAACAAAGGACCCTTACCGGATTTCCTCCGTTGAACATCAAATGACTGCTCCATTCTGATACTCTTCTGAATTCGTCGTTCTTCAGATTTCTTCACCATTTCTTTATCTACACTCTTCTTTATCATTTCCTCTTTATACGTTTCAGTTTTAGCACTCTTTTTCTCATAACGCGGGGTGTCGAATATAAACTTGTCCAACGTTTTCGACGAGCCGATCTTATCCAAGAAAGGTTTCTCCACCGCCTTGCTAGGCCCGATTTTCTCTAAGTAAGGTTTCCCGATAATCTTAGGTGCCAATTTTGCCAGGAATGGCTTGTCCTCCGTCTTTGAGATGCCGATCTTCTTCAGAAAGGGACGCTTTTTCTCTTTGCTTTCTTTCTCGAACGATCGATCATTTAGCCGTTCGTTGCTATAACTTGAGGAGTTATCACTACTTTTAGATCTTGCTCTCTTGTTTCGCGGATGAGGCGTTAATGGGGTTCTCGGTGTTCTTGGCGTGAGGGACGGACTGGGTTCCTGATTCGGGCAGGTTTCGTCCAGCAGAGCGATGGCATCTCTCAGGTCCATATACGCCTTTCTGGGCGCGGCGCTGACTGGAGCCGGTCGTGGTAGCTCGCTGTCGATGCTGCTGTTCCTCGTAGACGTCGCTTCCGGCTTCATTTCCGTGTCCATATGCGAGTACGAGGGGTACGAGCCCCGATCGCCCATAGGCGAGGAGTCGATGGTAGGGTAATCCTCCAGATACCAGGGCGTTACACCGAGATCTTCTGGCCTGGCCGCAGTACTCTGAGCCGGAAACATGTTCTTGCTGATGGCGCCTCTGTTGCTGCTATAACCGGTGAGCTGGTCTGTCTGCGTAGTACTGGACGACGTTCCAGAAACACTTGCAGCTATCTCGTTCGGCATGCTGGTAATTGTCACCTGTCGACGGTATCTGGTGCACGTGGCGAAGTATGGTAGCGCTGGTCGCGCTGTTTCCACCACTACACGGCCCTGGGCGCACGGTACCATGGGTTCACCGTCCGCCGGGGCTTCCTCAGGAGTCAACGGCAGCGCCGCCCCGCGGCCGAACTCGATAAACCACAGCTCGTCCCTCAACTCGCTTTCTCACTTTTTCTCGTTCATGTCTTTGTTCAGATAGTGGAGCACATAGTGCAGCACTAGATCGTAGCAATATTTGTACTCGGTCTGGAAGAGATTTCGAGAACATTTAGTTATATTAGACATAAGAAAAAGGTTCTAAATTAAATTAATCACCAATGATCACAAATTATACTTCAAATAGGATTGGACAGAAAGCTGAGTCCCAAAGAACTTAAAGACATATATGGTATACATAATACAAATTAGAAATTCTATCCCCTTTGCAGTTTTACAAAGAGCATCTAAAATTCAAAGTTCCAGCTACCACAATACATTCTCCCTTTACAACCACTCACCATGTTCTCAACGAGCTGAGGTCTGTGCCTGCGCACTGTTTTAACTGCCTGGAAAATGTCCACTTCTCCGTGTTGAATCACTTGTTCTATACACGCGTTTGCGGCGCAATACACGCCGCAACGACTCCTGCCATCTGGGGAGACCACAGCAACCGGTCCATAGTCCGTTCGTTGCCTCCATCTCTCGACCATATTCATCAGTTCCACCAGACTATTCGTCGACGTCGGTACCTTGTGACCCATTGGCCAGCAGGTCAACTGGAACAACTGAACCGTCTTTGGTGGAGCTTTTACACCAGCCATCAGCTCAGTTAGCGACACGATTTTCTTGTTTATCCTAAAAATCTGTGAAAGAAGATTTCATTGTTTGGTAAAATACATAATAATAAATACAAATCCTCAGACTTGCAACCAACTTCAAAGATGGTAGAGATCTTTTATACACTCTGAAGAAAAACTTCACAAACTCCTAACTTTTTGATGCATTCAGAGTAATATTATTCTTCTGAAGACATTCTAGGTAATAAATCTCAGGATTTTACTTAACAAATTCATATACAGTTATACATATAAATTTTTAAACGTCAGAATTATTATCCTTTAGATGCCTCGTTAAATTTTGAGAGAAGGAGATTAAGGAGATTGATGGAAAAGGCACAGCAAGCTGCTTCTCACCCAGGTTTTAATGTTTGTATAGTGATTGTGGCTGATGTGATCAATCGTAAATACAGGACCGTATTTCTTCGAGTGCTTTCCCTCGGGCCAAAAGCTGGGAAAGTTGGTGGAGCCTGGCGGAGGTACACAGAGAACAACCACAGCTGCGCATTCGTAGTCGTAAACTAAGGACCAGAACTCTCCACACGTGTGTCGAAGGGGCCATTCCGTTACTATGTATTCTCTGGGCTTCGTGTAACCCTGTAAAAGACGGTCGTTTAGAAAAAGGCGAACATCTTGCTACGAGTTTGTAATAGCATAAATAGCCTGACTATAAGAAACGGAGCGAAGGAAAGAAAAGATTTCCTAGTATATGGTAATATGGTATAAAATATAATTTACAATAGAAGGGACAGGGAAAAAGATTCTCCGTGTAACACTGAATGATACTTCTTAATATTATACTTATTTTGAAAAATTGTTTTAAATATTTAGCAATCTTGTGAAGCAATAAAGATGGATTTCTTTTCCATCGAAGAAAAATTATAAAAGAAGAAAATATTCACACGAAATAAATATAAATTGGTAACTTACGTCCACAAAGACAGCGTTTATGTAGTCAGTGTAACTGTTACCCTGGAAGCTGGTGAGGTATGGTCGAAAGTTGTCAGCTAAAGAGAAAAATATTCCATATAAATATGATCGATCGACTATAGAAATAACAACCATTATTTATACACAATATACGAGAGGCATTTACATACTGTAACTACAATTTATAATATCCAATTTATATTTCGTTTTCAGAACGCCAAAAAATATCAAATTTCCAATACGTCTATAAAACATACAGAAAAATCAAAATTTAACATCTACGACCAGTGAATTAAATTAAGAAGAAAATATAAATTCAAAAGAATATATCATGGATTCTTGTAAATATCTTCCGTATAATTTTTGGAAAAAAAGAAAAGTATATATATATAAAAATATATAACACTAGATGGAAATAAAATATGCGGTCCCTTCTTCATAGTATCCGCACATTGGTAAGGTACAATTTTCATAAGGTAGCAGAAACATTCCAGTCTTTCCTTTCTATCGTAAAAACATTTATATGCGCCATTGACGGAAACTTACGCGGCACAACCAGCACGTCCCTGTTCTTTTCCCTGTTATCGGCCCTGTGGCCCCCGGCGCAATCTCCGATCGTAAAACGTGGCGTTTGCTTACAAATTTGCTGATACTCCCGCTGATATTCATTCATCTTGGTTATTGGATTTTTTATGCTCTTTTGTTTCAGACGTTGAGATAATTCTGAGACCGGAAACCAGGAGGTGCCACACACCACGAATTCCTCCAACGTATCGTATACGAATTTATACTGTTCCTAAGTCATAAGAAAATTTACTACGGTGAGAATATGAAACATGCGACTGCTCGTGATTTTTCATACTATTTTAAAACTTTTTAAAACTATATTTTACAATTTTTAACATACAATTACATGATATATTAATTTTTGATACATGTATGTATATATAAGAAAGTTAAGTTTTAGTAACCTCTTTGTATCACAGTAAATTACAATATCAATTTTGCAAAGAAAACAACTGTTTATCCTTTTACATTTTTGTTTCAGTTGAATGCAAAGGCTAGAAAATGTGAAACCAGAAATTTTTACTAGTTTGATAGACCAGGTGCTAACATCTTCAGAAAAATTAAGTGGATTATTGAATCTTTTATTTGTTCTGTAAAAGAAAATATGTTTATCCTTATGAAAAGATCCAGGTATACTTGAGGATTAAAAATTGGAAATTAGTATTCCACATAATCCAATATTTTGCAATTATACAAATGATAGTTAACAGAACTCGTCAAAGGATAAAGTTCAATTTCATTAAAGCAATATTCTACTTCTCCTCGAATGAAATAGATGAGACGACGGATATTACGGATTTACCAAGTTCTCGATGAGTCCTCTCCTGCTTTGCCGCAACTTTTTTAAGTAGCCAAAGACGTCGAAGGCGTCTTCCTCTTCAGCAAGTTCCATATTCGCGTCTATAGCCAGGTACACACCGGATCTTCCGCCACCGTCACTTCGTTTTCAACAGAACAACGTTCCTTTCGTTCAGTAACAGCTACCAGATCGAAAGTAATATCAAAATCATCGAAATTCACCGATTCAACACTCACTTGCAGTGCACCACCATGGGTCCAGACTCGTTCTTTATGGTGGACCCGACCACAGCCCTCACGCGTCGACGGAACTCTAAAACCGCGTTTCCAAATGGACACGTGTGCGAATGCCATTCCGTGTAGTGGAACTGCAATAGCGTTCTTTCTTCTGTGACTTCCTGAAATCGAGAAATAATTTCCTTTCTTATTTTTCAGTCAGAAAATTCGAATTTAGGAGATTTGGAAATTAGCAACTTTATCGAATGATTCTCCTGGGTTATTTATTTTTTATTTGTTTATAACTGGCTAAATTATAATTTATAATTCGCAGTTTCAGTTCTTAATTTTTGTATTTTAAATGAAAGATACCACGAAAGTAATATTTCGTGGTGTGAATATTCGTGAAAATTATTCTTTTAGAATAGTTTCATGTATTTGAAGAATCGTTGGAAATTGTTTAGTGCATTGCGATTTTGCAACAAATCCACCATAACTGTATTTATTGTTAGATTTACGTTTTATGTGAAAAATTGTTGACGTTTACCGAGTATCGTTCGTATCGAAGAAAAATATTTACAAAGCAACATCAGCGGAATTTTGCAATTTTTAGTGCACGATTGAAATATTTCACTATCGTCGATGCCATAAATTCGAGACATTTCTAGCGAAGGTAACGCATACATGTCGCCGGCAGTTTAACTCTCGTAACTCGAGTTTTAAACGACTCTCTACTATAAGTTACATCCATGTCAGCCAAGTTGATGAATAAAACATGTTTCGTCATAGTCAAGGCTTTAAATTCGCGTTAAAGATTTCTCCCATTCGCGAGGTAGGAAATAAATTAAATACACGATTTATAATACCTTTTGAATACCAGGGAAAAGTCAAATAAAATAGTTTAGACGTATAATTCATCACTAACAAATCATCGTTACATTTTTTCTAATTTACAACCTCTAATTATACACAAAAATACTCTAATTTCTGGGAAAAATGATTATGTTCTTAGTCGCTGAAAAATTACCAGGAATTATTCTTCGTTTACATTCCTCTTAATTTTTCTAACTGTAAAAATTACATCCTAAAATTTGCATCATATAATATCGATGTCTATTAGCTGCTGTGAACTACTCTACACTCACATGGACTTCAATCACTATCAGATAGTCTTTATTCCTAATTAAACCATCAATCTTGAATCACCCTGTATTTGTCACCAAGTTGATCGCAATACTTAAAAAAAGATCGTCTTTAATCTAATGCCTACTACGAATCACATAAGCACAGGTGCTTCTCATCATATTAAATTCCATCTTTGTTAGAAGATCACTTGACATCATCCTGAATTTTGTCGTTTATTTTGAATCACCCTGTACTTGTCCCCAAGTTGGTTGCAATGCTTACCAAAAGATCGTCTATAATCTATTACCTACTATGAATCACAGAAACACATGTACTTCTCATCATATTAAATTCAATCCTCATCAGAAAATCACCTGACATCATCCTGAATTCTGCCATCTATCTTGAATCACCCTGTACTTGTCTCCAAGTTAATTGCAATACGTAACAAAAGATCGTCTTTAATCTATTACCTAATGCGAATCACAGAAACACATGTACTTCTCATCATATTAAATTTAATCTTCGTCAGAAGATCACTTAACATCGTCCTGAACTCTGTCATCTCTTTTGCATCACCCTCTACTTCTCTCTACAGCAACCACAATCTTCGCCAGAAGATTACCTTCACTTCAGTTCTACTAACTGCTGTGAAACTGTTCTACATTCCATACCTACATCGATCCCAGCGATTATCAGAGCATCTTCACTCCAGCCCCTACCACCTATTTCGCACCTCCCTGTATACCTCAGCATATCGAAGCCAACTTGCCCAAAGAAGTTACGTCCGCTTCGACTCTAACGCGTATTTTGTCGCATCCAGTTCATTCTCAGCCCAAGAAAATTTCTCCGTTCTACTAGCTACAACGCGATTCAAATCTCGGAACACCAAGCCCACAAGACCAGCCCGAACTACCCGCTACGCGCTGAATTATGTTCTCTAGGGAATTATCACGCACAATGACGCAACAATGCTGCTCGACGACAATCTTGTCCCGTTTAGGATGTTCCTTGCTCGCCTAGCATTATGCACGCGTCGCTATTCACGGAATGGGATTGCAACTACGACGTATTAAATTTTCCGCCGCCAGTAAATCTCACGGCCGATTATTCTGTTGCGTTTACCATGCCCCATAGCAAACACCATCATCATAGGACGGGTCAATATAGGAACCCTCTTCGTACTGTCACCGGAAGTCCGGTGACCGAAGGTTGCTTGGAATCCAGAGTTCGAATTTCACGGACCGATATTGTACATTAGAAAAATTTCTTTGGATCGTTGCTGAATTTCTTTGCATACAGCCCTGGTGGACCAATGTTATCTGCTCTGAAAATTTTGGTTGGAGCGATCTTGGAATTTCCTATGTACTCCGTTGCTAATATTGCCTAATATTACCCATCGTGAGAATTTATTAGTGAGAAGCTAAGTGACATTTAGGTGTTCAATTGTAAACAAAATGTAAATCGATGATGATATTTAGATCACAGACAGCACTTTCAAGTCAAAAAGCTATATAATACGTGCACTGAAAATATCTTAAATTAAAAGAAACATTTATTTAAACCAACAAAATTCTAATGAAGTGAAGATTCACGTAATTATATACAGGGTGTCACAGCAACGGTAGTAAAATCGGTAGGGGGTGATTCTACACGAAAAAACCAAACGAAAAGAAGAAATAAAATTTTTTGATTCGAAACTTTCTTTTCGAGGAAATCCGCTTTGAACATTCACCGCATACGCTGGTATACCGATGCTCCACCCTCTTAGCCAAAGTTAAGTGCACGCGTACCCCGCGAATGTTCAAAGTCGATTTCCTCGAAAACGAAGCTTCGAATCAAAAAATTTTACTCTTTATTTTCGATTCGTTTTTGTACGTAGAATCACACTCTACCGATTTTATAACCGTTACTGTGACACCCTGTATATTTCTCAAGCTAGACCGAAGAGAAAAGCTGCTTTCTCAGCTAAAAAGCAGAAATAAGTTGAAAAGTCGATACAAGACTTACCAAATTCACGAAAAATGTTCGTATAAACTGACAAACTCTCGATGAAACGAGGATTAAAGACACTCGTTGTTCTAACTATGTTTATCAAGCTAGACCAGAGATAGTATCTCTCTCACAGCAAAAAGGAGAAGACAGTTTATATCTCTGGCAAATTAAAAAAGGTATTCATTTAAACCACCCTGACGAGACGAGAGTGCACTCGACACCCTGTATCACTTCTATTAGACGACCAACAGAGATCAAATCAGAGAAATTACACGAAGCAAGCAGCCTACGCTGTTTCATCAAAGCTGAAGCTGAAACTAACAAAGTGTCGCTGGAAATTCGAGGGATCTCCTTATTTTCGCCCCATTTCCGGCAAGTTAATAAAATTAAGCCTTACGTAACAGCCTACTGAGCAAACTTATCATTCCCCCTGTCCCCTTAGTCTCCGTCTCGGCATCGTTTTGCATTCACCCAGTTTCAAAGATGGCCGTACACCCATTGCTTCTACGGAGACTACCACCGGCTCCTCTATAGTCGATTCTGCCAACTTTTTACCAACTTCCATCCTACCCACGTCTTCAACGGGACCCAGAGACGTCGGCTGGAACCCCTCTGAGCGGTCTATACTTTTCACTTCAGAGACAAGTTTCGAGTTTGCGCGACCTCCTGCCAGCCGGGACTTCATTACCGTATTGGGAGATCATTCGGCTCTGTTGCACTCCCTGCATTATGCAGCGCGTAATTCTCGTCACGTAATTCGTGGCGATTTGTCGGGGAAAGGTAACGAAATGTACCTGACAGAGTTTCGGGATCGATGGGCCGGAATCTTTGGCAAGAATCGTGAAATCCTTCGCGGAGGGACGAGAGGACACTATAGGTATAACACTATAGGAATTTTCGCGGGTTTATATGGCGAGAAGTCGAGAACCCATTGTGGCGATATGCATAGATATCATTGGGAAACGTCGTCGAGAGAGTGCAGGGTAAGATATTCCGAATTCGTGGAAATAAATAAATATGAAGAATACACGAGCATGAATCTCCCGCGTTTGCAGAGCTCGGGGATGGAAGATGAGGAAATAAGCGAGATAGAGGTTGAAGATTTCCAAGAAGTTTTGGGAGATTCTGAGCACGAAGACGTGCGTTAAGAAGTACCTTGCTGGGTACGAGAGATGATATATACTCGTCATTTTAATCCCTTTTCACTGGGGCCTTCGTAATTACCTTTGAAAAGTTCCAACAGAATTGTCGAAATAATTTTTGACGAATAATTCTTGAAATTAGTCCTAAAAAATTCGATGCTCGTGGAGAAAAAATAACAATTTCAAACGAAATTTAATTTTTGAAACGAAAAACACAACTATTAGAAATATCCTTTTCTAAAATTAAAATTTTCTTTACAAGTTCAAAACAGGATAATAATTTTTCTAATCAAAAATGCGACGATTAATATTCTCCAGCAGATAAAAATTTGTGGAATGAAAATTTTGAAACCAAGATACGACGATTAGAAATATCCTTTTCTAAAATAAAAATTTTCTTTGTAAGTTAAAAACAGGATAATAATTTTCTAATTAATTATGCGACGATTAATAGTTTCCTTTAGATAAAAATTTGTGGAATGAAAATTTTGAAGCGAAGAATACGATGATTAGAAATATCCTTTTCTAAAATTAAAATTTTCTTTGTAAGTTAAAAGCAGGATAATAATTTTTCGAATTAAAAGTGCGACGATCAATATTAGAATATCTTTTAAAATTATCACGCAAATATTTGGGCACAAGGATCCAGTTGAAAGCTTCCTTTATCGTTGAACCGTGTCTATCGATATCCAACAGTACTCCACTTAGGCCTGGTAAGCGATACATCAGCCAAATACCACTAAATGCACACATGCAACACGTTCCGTCCCCGTGCGAACGTTTCACGTGCTCCACATAAATCCCTGAAAAGCGTACGTATGAAGAGGAGTACACTCACGTCGTTGTCGTTCTTCTTGTAAAGCCTTATCGTCCGTATGTGAAAATTGGCGAGCTCCTCTTCCTTCAGCACGGAAACACCGATACCGCCATACTCCTCGTCCTTGTCTTTGCTGGCTGGCCAATACTGCACGCACATCACCTGAAATCGATTTGTTCCATGCTCTTTATCATCCGACTCATGCGAAATTTCAGTGGGAAGTGGCTCACAACGTGGAACAATTCTACGAAGAAGGATCACTGAGAAATTGGGCTGCGGAATTTGGCAGAACGGAATACGATGTGCCGGGGGATGGCGAGAGGATTTACACTGGGTGGATGGGAAGATGGAAATTGGAGAAAACGAGAGATTTACGTCGAACTTGGATCAGGCAGAAGATACTCGAATACTTGTACAAAATTTAGTTGCTAGTTGGAGGAGTATCGATTTGGAGTATCAACGATGCAAATTGATGGCTGAAAATTTGAGAAACAAATTAAACGACACTTGAATTTATTTGACGTGAAAACTACGTTCTCTTTTCATCCTATAAAAGTTGTCGCAGTAATAATAATTTTGCAGGTAATGGGTATAAGAATGTATGGTAATAATCCTCTGCTCTTTGGGAATTTTTGATGGAATGGAAAAGTTAAAATTCCAAAATTAAAAATTTGGTTTGGAAAAGAAATAAAATTAGACGAATTAAACGACACTCGAAAATTTATTTGACGTGAAAACTAGGTGCTCTTTTCATCCTATAAAAATTGTTGCAGTAATAATAATTTTGCAGGTAATGGGTACAAGAATGTATGATAACAATCCTCTGCTCTCTAGGAATTTTTGATGGAATGGAAAAGTTAAAATTCCAAAGTTAAAAATTTCGTCTGGAAAAGAGATAAAATTAAAAGCATCTATAAGGTTCTTCACCTAGTAGTGCTAATGAAGTTCCAAAAATTAATTCAGCTATGAAATACGCTACTATACAGTGGCAAAAATACTACTGTCACCCGGTATTAATCAAAGAGTCTACAATCTTCATTGAAAAAGAAGAAGAAGAAGAAAAAAAGGACGTAGGCAGTTTATCAAATTTATAACTCCCACACTATCGTCGATGCTCGCCAAAAACGAGGAAGAGGAAGAAGGAGATGAAGAAAAGATGAAGAATACACCAGGAACTTTCGCAATCCTATACATCTTCGAGAGTGAGTCATAAATTCCTTGCGAGTTTACACAGGTCTATTTCATCGACTGCTTATTTTACTCGAATAACGCGTTACAAACTGCATCCCTCTTTTTAAAACAAATATCTCTGTCAGGAGCGAAAGTTTAATGTCAGGGGTAACGCGTTATCCGCAAAGGTGGCTTAAGGCCGGAGGAAATAACGAGCTTAGAAGACCAGCAGGAGCAAGGAAATTGTATATATACATATTACGAGATAAATAAAAAGGTGCACGGAAAATCGCATGATTCATCTCGTATTTTTTCACAGCCAGAGTAAACGCTGGTCCCTCGCGAACCCGATGAAAACGTCGCTTCTTCGACGCTCTGGATCATCATTATGAAGGCAAAGAGGCGCGGCTAAGTGAAGTGGCTGCTAACAACTTCCAAACTCGTTTACTCCGCTCATCGTCGATTTTCGCGTTGCAAAAGCTCGGTTTCTTTAAAGCTCCGTGGTCTAAACCGCGTCGCGTTCATCCCGTTTCCGTGATGACGCGGATCTTCCGTTTATTGAACGTCGTGTGTCAAAAGGGTGCCATGCACGGCTCCTCGTTGCTGTGGTGTAACGTTGCGCAAGAAGCACGATGTAACGTGGAACCGTGTAATTTCCAGTAGAAATTTACATGCAGGTAGAGAGATGTACAAGGCGTCTTGTAACGCGTGAGTCAGATTTTAATGGAGAAAGAAAATTGCCGAGGAGATTGACGTAAGTCGAGTATTCTGAGATTTATTTTGGGTTACAGATAGTTTTCTGGTGGAGTTATTCTTGGCGAGGAATTAAGGTTAAGATTTAATTGAGGTTGGAAGAATTGAAATTTCTTTTGTTTGCATAGGGTGTTTTGTGTAAATTGAATTGATGAGACAGGTCAATTTTGAATATTGGAATCCTTGGGGATGTTTGGTTGATTGCTCTGATTGTGTCTTTGGTTGTTGTGATGTGTATTGGAAAGTAGTGGGTGATATTAAGTGATGAGTTTTTGAATTACTTTAAGTTTGTTTACTGAGGATGTTTTGGATACTTGATGCAGTCTAGGTATCTTTGTTGGTAGGAGATATTAAAAATGTATGGATAGTACTAATCAATGAATTGTCTTTCTGAAAGGCTTCACATTATCTATTGGTACTTTTGGGATATTTAAGTGATAGGTACTATGTGTCTTTATTTATACAAAATATTGGAAACTAATAAGTGTCATTGGATGATAAATTGTTGTGAGATACTTCAACTCTTGGAGATTTAGTTGACAAGTTTTGTGCATTTGTGCTAGTAAAAGATATTAAAAATAAATAGGTGATACTAGCTGATGAATTGTGTTTCTAAAACACTTCCTTCAACCTAGTCTATTAATATATTTATTTATCTATTATATTAGTTTATCTATTTGTATAAAGTATTAAGAACTAATAGGTAGCATTAGTTGCAGACTGCCTTCCTAAATTACTTCAATTTTGTCCACTAATATTTTTGGTGACACTTGGTTGATGAACTCAATGCATCTCTGTTTCTCTAGATGATATGAAAAGATAGCAGATGACATAAACTGATGGAATAGTCTTCCATCTTCCAAGAACACTTTAATCTTCATCTATTCACATTTTTGAAGACACTGGACCTGATCTGTGCTATCTTTGTGTCTAGGTAATGGCACTATCATGTTTTACCTCTGGGTAATGGGTTTGGAAAGAAACACCAAGAGTAAGGTAAATCTTTGTTGATAGGACAAAAATGTTGAAACGCCTTCGTGGAACGATTTACGTTCCCAGGTTCCTGCCACCTTTATCGCGACCGTGATGTCCCAAATAGATATCAGTCCTTCACCCTGCGAGTCCAGGCGAATTACTACCGTCCAACCGTAGCTAACCAAACCCGGCCCCTCCAATTAAATAACAAAACGTTGAATTAGATCTCGTACCCTGATGAAATCGAAGGTTTTCGTCAGCATGACGATACAACAGGCCTTCTCCTGCCACACCATCCGCCAGAACTCTGTCACGGTGTTCTCCATGGGTCCCTGAGTCACGATGTAAGCGTTCGGTTTCAATATACTCTGAAACGTGAATATTTCATAATTTAATATTGCTAATTGAACAATCAAATTTAGGAAAACTGAGTAAGAAAAATGGATATCGTGTTAAATTAAAGACCAAAATTTTGACAAACTATTTTTGGTAAATCGTTAGATCGAGAATTATAATTTTGATGATCTATTTTGAGATAAATCGAGGATTTACGACTGATTTGTCAATCTACAGATACAGTTAATAATAATAAAAAGGAGTAAGAAATATGGTTAAATGTGAAAACGACGTTTATATTTAGTAATTAACATAAATCATTGAAAACAGTGTCTTTGTCACAGAAATATCACGATGCAACCCCTTCCAAGCAATCTATTTTGGGTAACGTACTTATGGATTATTCAAATTGGACGATTTCGTGCCCGAAGGCTGAGAAAAATAGGCAACCTTGATCTTGATCTTTAATATCGCGAGTCACGATGTCATAAAAGAAGAAATTTTTCATTTCATTTCCAAAAATTATTCCTAGAAAACCAACCTTTAAATACATTTACTCGTGTACTATAATATTTTCCAAATAAATTTATAACACTCAATAATTCACAATTTTTACACCAAATTGAAAAACAATTATCCGCCACTATCGAAATTAACTATAATTTCATTTTTGATACTCACAACAAAATTAAATTACGATCACAGACAATATTATCTGCAATATATAATAGTATTTTCTGACAGTATGTTCACAAAATTTCTAACAAAATTTAACAAAAGCTTAACAAGTTAAAATCTTCTACTCAAAATCACCATAATAACAATCGTCAAACTCTAATTTTCGGATCAAACAAAAACACTGTAATTAAGAATCGCGTAATTTCTCTATTCTCACTCGAAATTATGTAAACTCGTGATCATAGACAACTTAATCCGACATGATTATCCACGACAGAATTTTCGTGGAACTTGGCAGAAGTTTAATTAAAGTAAAGGTGGTTGAAGGGTTCCTTTTTTTGGAAGGGGTTTGTTCCAGGGTAAGAAAGTCATAGTAACAGCTATGGAACTTTGCACGTTCTACTTACATCTACATAAGAAGCGTTAATGTAATCGGAGTCGGGCTCGCCTTCGATAGGGTCCAAAACCACCCTGTTGTAGTCATCTGTGCTCGAAAAGGAAATTAATGAACGTTAGTACCGGCATCTCGTGCACATAATTAAATACGAAAATTAATTCCCGATACGAGTAACTTGTAAACGACCGCAGTGCTCGTATAAACACAGTTACTGAACATCGTTCACCCCTTTGTATTTTATACCCTGCACCCTTTGTGTAGTAAGAAACAGGTATCTTTCACGTCGACATGATATTTATTCAAGCAACGACAAAAAGCTGCCAGTTGCTTGATATATTAAGATCAGAGTAGACCCGAGCATGGAATTTGATTGATAAATACATTTTAACCGTGCAGTAAAATCGCGAACGAGTAAAATTAATAATTGAGGAAACAAAAGATAAAGAAATGATCGGTGCATCGATCACCCGTGTTTTAATTAAAACATTTCAATTCTTTTTCTACAGTTGCTCGTCGAATCGCTAAAAGCAGCACGAATTATAATTCATAGAATAATTATACATTTGCACTGAATTTCAGTCCGTTTCACAGCTGAAACGTGGAAATGATGGAATATTAAAATTCAATTTACATTCAACCTCCTCGGATATTAACCCTTTACACTCGAAGATTTTTTCCCCATAAGGAAACAGCAATTTGAAGCTTCCCTTGTATTTCTATAAATTCGGTGATACTTGTTGTGTTAAAATAAAAGAAGGAAATTATATGTCTGTGTTAGAAATTAATCTGTAGAATTATTATATTTCGCGTGTAGTTATTTTCATTATAGCAGTCGCCCCTTATTCGTTTTCACCAAAAGAAAATGGAATTAAGTGGAATTAAAACGAATTGCGACTGGGTGTCGTCTCTGGAATGTAAAGGGTTGATAATAAATTTTCCAAAGACCCTATTTTTAGTTAAGGATTAGGAGTAAGATAAAATCGAGGATAATTCCAGGACCACCAGGTGCCCTGATATTTATTAAGTTAAATAAAGGGCGGTTGGAAACCCTCCAGGGAGCATTTCGTTCGCACGGCAGTCGCCATTACTCTTTCATACCAAAGTACGTTTTTCTCGCACACATGCACCCGAGATAACACTTAAACCGCCCTTTTCCAAACAATCCACACCCCATTCAGCGACCCACAATACAGCAATTTACATTCAGTCCTGCACTATCGAGGTCCTCCGCTTCTAATTGCTCCATAACGTGTGACAATAACTCGCGACCCGCGTGAAAAATACGGGAAGGAGGGGATAAAATAAGGGGGAGGGGGACATTTGGAAAGCCGAAAATCGTGGAAACGGGAAAATAAAATAACTAGGTCTCGCTGCAAAGAAGATCCCCTGCCCCGTGAATCGTACAACCCTGCATTTACAGCAGAGTGCATCACCCCGTGATGCAAGAAATGTTCTTCCTTTCACACGATTCATCCCGAGATCCACTATGGAGTTTAAAAAAGGATTTGAGAAATAGTTCATCGATACAGGGGTTGATAAATTGATCGAGGGACATCGGAATTGTATAATAATTTCGGAGGTGAAATATTGTAACTCGTTTTTCATTTTATGGGGAGTTATGGATATCGGTAGTTCGAGATATTGTTATGGGGTGTTAAAAAATTTCAAAAATTTAAGGGTCGTAGTACTCGTGAAACGAGGGAGAAGATGTTTAAGTGAAATAGGCTCTGTTTAATAAAGGGGTTTAGTAAAATGTTGATTATTAAAATATAAATTTATGATTATTTATTAGTTGTTGATTTGATAATGAGTTTAATTACTCGCGAGTATTTGATATGTGAGATTCGTAGTGATATATTGAATTGATTGGATTAGGATCGAATAGAGGAATTAATTTAATTTCTCTCCACGAGTAATAAACTTTTAACACTACAATCATTGACTTGTATTACTTAAATATAATATAGTTGATAATAATAATTAAAGCGGTGTAATGAAAATAAACATATATATACATTTAGGTTTCTGATTTTGACAAAAGATACTGCAAAAATGAAATACCTTTGCATAAATCATTTTAACCCCTTTGGTATTATTTCTAGTATCATAATCTTCTTCAAGAATCCTATATATTATAAAAATATATATAATACAAAATAATAAAATAAGATGCAAATGACTGATGGGTTCCTACTTGAATAAAAATTAACATTTAATTTGGAAAAAAAAACTGCAAAAATAAAATATACCTGTACACGTTATTTTAACCCCATTGGTATTATTTCTAGTACCACAATCTTTCTTAAATACCCTACATATTATAAAGACCTAATAAAATATAATACAAACGATTGATACAAAAAGATGAAAAATAAAAAAGAAAATGAAATAAAATAAAATAAGATACCAATAAAAATTGATATTAATTATGACAAAAGAAATTGAAAAAATAAAATATATCTGTACAAGTCATTTTAACCCCTTTGGTATTATTTCTAGTATCATAACCTTCTTCAAGAATCCTATATATTCTAAAAATATATATAACACAAAATAATAAAATACAACATAAATGATTGATACAAGAAAAATGGCGAAGAAGAGTAAAAGAGGAGATGAAATAAGATAAAATAGGGTAAGAAAAGAAGTTTTCTAATTATCTCGTCGCGTGTGCCAACAACCAATACCCCCGAGCAAGACGAGAAAAAGCGCAAAGAGAGAGGCGGGAAGAGAGAACGGGTTCGTGTTGTTTAAACAAAAGCGAAACGGAAGCCAGTCGGTTTGCAGTTGATCCTACGGATTCTTGAAAAGCTCGTCAAATTGCTGTTGGAGCGAACATTTTCAGCCGGCAGAACGAGCTACCGTATCAATTTCCAGGAAATATTATTTCATCGTATCCCTGTATACCCGTTTGTACGTGTGCGCGCGCGCGCGCCACCGGAAGTTCGCGTCGCCCTCAACTGTTCTTGTTGCGAAGCACGCGTACGAAAGGCGCGAATATAACCGCGTTTCCTAATTAGACCCGCCGTGACCGGAATATTTTTTCATGCCGGCGAATAATTAAAAGCACCATCGGCCGTTGGTTCGCGTATGGCGCGCACGAGGGCGCTGTAATCAAAGGCCTTCCGCGATAAAAATGGCGACGCGAGAACGCTGAACAATCGCGTCGAGTGTTTTCGTACGGCTGAGAATTGAGTTGTTTGCGTTGGAATTAAGCGTCGGGTATTTGCGTGGATGTTGGTTGTGTCGAGTTGTTCGGCTCCTTGGAATTAAGTTTTTGAATAGAATGGCGCGCAGCAAGTAGAATATCTAGGTATTTCTGGGGAAATAGGGAATCGGACATCGACGGATCTTAGTTAAATTATTATTTCGCGAACTAGCTCATGTATAGGGAATTGAATGTTAAATAAAATACAATACACTGAATGGAATATTCAGGTTTTACTCGAAAAAAGTTTAGAGCTTTTCTTAGGGGAATTTTAGTATTAATAATGGAAGAGTTAAGTTACTGTTTAATTATTAATTTTACATTTAATTTAGATTTTTGGGTAGATATGAAACATTATCGTAATATTTTCGGTCACTTATCATAAAATCGGTATAAAATAAAATTAAACATTATCATAAAATCGGTCATTCGCCTTACAAAACAGGGAATAAAGTATCGAAATATTATCTGGAAAATAAATTCATGGTTACCGTGTCAGTTAAATTAGCTCTTTGACTATCCTCATTAACTAAAGTACGCTCTAGTGAGCGCTTTGATCAGCTCTTTTTTGAAAGCTGAGATCAGAACTAGCGCTAAAGGAGCTCAGCAATATAAAAGCTAATTCTTCGAATACTAATTAAAATAAAATACAGTTGTCAAAATATCTTTGGTAGTATCTTTGGAATAACGAATCGACAAACGAGGAAAATATAGGAGTATATTAAGTGTTAAGTTACCTTCGAAATAACAATGTCTTACGTGGTTAGTGTTACTCGTGTAGGAAAGAATGAAATTATCTCTGGAATAATAAATTAAGTGTTAAGTTACCTTTGAAATAGTGAATCGTGTCTTAAGTTATCCGTGTAGAAAATGTACAATTAAGTTATCTGTGCAGGATCAAATGAAATATTAAGTTTACTCACTCGTTATATTCCTATTCCGATATTATATTAAATATTATATTCCAATTTCCTTTTAATTCTTAAATCGAGATTTAGACAGAGACTCTACACAAAAAGATACTTCGTCTTTCTCCGAGCAAATTTATTCTAACTTACTCTCTAACTTACATACTCTTTAAATTTACTCTAACTTACTCTCAAAACAAAGGAAATTTTACAGAAGATCGTTGAAATTTATTATCTATTTACCACTAAAAGAGAATTATATCAGGATACTGACACGAGTATTACTACTTAAAAAACAGTATACTAAGACCGATTTAGTATCAACAATAGTCACGTTGAGTAAATTGCTACTTACAAGGAATACACCTCTGGTTCTGATTCTTCTCTTTGTTGGCCAGCTTCATGGCGTGTCTACAAGAGTGCGTCTCCACCTTCGTTGCCGTCTGTAAACAAATGAAATCGACTTTTAAAACGCGCATGACTCGAAGTTACTATAATTCATTCCCTCGAATTTCGTTTAAATCTTCTATCGACCGAGCCGTTGTTACCGGGTCGCTATGAATATCGCTTTTTAAATATTCGCTCGAATACTTGTAATATTTATCAATGGAAACCAACGGAACGCATTTATACACGGGAAACGTGATAATGACACGTAAGTGACACTGTTGGCAGTGGATAGAAAGTTTAAATTAAACTGCCTCGAATATTAATGAACCAGACGGAATTATTCGTGACACCGAGTTCGAATTTCATAAATTTCGTTTGTAATTCGCCGTGTGCACATACACACACACACACACACGTTAATCTCGAGTTATTTCTAGTTGCGCACGAATCCTCTAACACGCTTTGTTTCAATGGTTATTACTTCATTGTTGCACGACGTGTTGCAAAAATCTGGCCTAGTTGCGGAGATTGGTAATTGGCGATTTTAACATTTTTATATAGCACGTGTCGATTTATTTGTTATTTTTATCACACACGTTTCCCACAATTTTTACCTCATTGGTAGCGATCATTCTTTGCATATTTTTTACTTAATTTTTATTTTTGGGTATTTGTTTTTTATCCTAAATTCTTTTTTATGTCGTAACCTGCCTTGTTTCCCTTTTTATACTTTTTACTACTGTTACATTTTATTAATTATTCTTTCCATTTTTAATTTCCGAATTGTCCCATATTTTTTATTCTAAATTCCCATGTTTCTTATCCTAAATTCCTGTTTTTTAGTAACCTGCCTTGTTTCCCTTTTTCCACCTTTTACTACTGTTACATTTTATTAATTATTTTTTCGATGTTTAATTTCCGAGTTTTTCCATATTTTTGACTTTTTGGTTTTCCCTTCTTTCTTCTTTTAATTATTTTTATAAATAATCTCTGCCACTTTTTGTCATAGTGTTTTCTGCGTGTACTTTCTACATAAATCTTACTCCTATTTAATTGTATTTTTTAAATAATCTGCTCTTTTTCTCCACCTTCATTTGATAATTGAACCAACGAAGAATTCCTAACTCAGATTCCTACAACCATAATTCTACTCATACTGCTACGCACTGTATCCTATTAATCCGTATGCTCCAAAATTGTTTAAAATATTTAAACAGAGTCTTAATCATTATCATACTTTCATTTTCGAAGAACAGTAATTCAAAATACTCTCACAATTAACATCACGTAAAATTAACGAAGAACAGTGTCATCCATAGCGTCACAAAATGCTATTAGCCCTGATACCCGAAAAATCGACGAATCTTATTTCGTACAGAAAGATCATTCCATTATCGAAAGCAATTATTTCGACACTTGTACAGGGTGCAAAGCTTCTACCAAATTCCATCAATCGCTTCGATTTCCCTGCGATTTATCCCCTTTTTCCGCGAGATTTTTGTTTCCGCGGTACAATTCACTCTGGTCTAATGGGTTATTTTATTGGCCGTGCGAATTAAATTCATAGCGAGATTAAAACGGTCTCCATTTGCACGCGATGGTTCGTGCCAACGATGGAAAAAGCGACTCAAAAGCAAACTGTCCGCCGGTCGAACAGTCACCTTTCCGCCTCTCGAATCGCGTTCGATGGCCGTGCGCGAAAGAGCGCAAAAGAGCGCAAAAGAGCGCAAAAGAGTGCGAAAGAGCGCGAGTGGGCTGATAAACGTCGGGCCAATTACGCGTTGCGATCCGGCAATCGACGTGGTTGTATCGCAGTTCGCGCGCGTTAAACGGGACCATAAATTCGCGGTGATGGAAGGGTCACCGTGGCCCCAAACGGGTTTTTAGCCTTCGTTCATCCCGATAATTCTCCTCGAGCGCGGCGCTGATAAGGAAACTCTGGCAAACGCGGCGAAATATCGTTTCCCCTGTCGCTGACCAAAATTGAATCCGGTTCATTCGACCAGCGGAAAATGGGTCGTCGTGATATTTACCGGTCTTGGAGATGGGCTAATTGCGGATGATCGTCGATGGTGAGGCCACTATGGCCGAATGGCCGTTTTCGATACTGAACCAGTGATTTTCCAGCGAGTGGTTAAGCGTGCGGTGCGTTGATATAGTGCAATTGTCTTGTTTGGAAAATTGTAATTGTAGTTTGTAAACAATAGCGCGAGTTTTGTTATTTGGGAATTACTTTCTTTGCTATTCTTAATGGAAGGTAATTTTTGTGTAACGTGAATCGGGGTAGCGTGATTTTTCTTATCAAGAGATTAGGGTTGCGAAATTTTTGGTGTCTGAAAATTAGTGCGGTGTAAATTTTATTATATATAAATTTGCACAGTGCTAATTTTTATTATCGGAAAATTAGCGTAGTGTAATTTTTATTTACCAAGAATGTTGTTGTTTACTATTATTCGTATAGTAATTATTGTTATCCAAAAATTAGCGTGGTATAATTTCGGTTGTCTAAAAATTATGGCAGTGTAATTTTTAGCATCTATAGATTTGCACAGTGCCATTTTTGCCATTGGAAAATTAGCGTAGTGTAATTTTTATTAACTAAGAATGATATTGTTTATTATTACCCGTATAGTAATTATTGTTATCCAAAAATTAGTGCGGTATAATTTCTGTTGTCTAAAAAATAGGGTAGTGTAATTTTTAGCAACCATAAATTTACACAGTGCCATTTTTTCCATCGAAAAATTAGTATAGTGTAATTTTTATTACCTACAAATGATGTTGTTTACTACGATTAGTATAGTAATTTTTATACAACATAAATTAGTGCAATGTAATTTTTGTTATTTAAAAACGAGTGTAGTGTGATTTTTGTTACCTAAAAAGTATTTTTTTTATAACTGACGCAATTAGGATTTTTTTGGGTAACTGGTTGATTTCTAATAAGTAATTTGACTGCAATATGGCACCAAACTTGTACCAATTTGGCACCAAATCTCTGATAGACTTGGCTAGAAAGCCATGTCCATCTGTATCCCCACTATGCATTGATTTTGGTATCAAATTTTGAACTCGATATTTTGACATCAAATTTGCAGTTCGTAATTGAAACTTATAGCAAAATTTCTAATTAGCTGCGAATCGAGATTCTTAATTAAACTACAAAATTCCAATTACGATCATGTATCATATTAATGGTACTTTATTTACTTGCCTAAATGATTAATGATCGTTTCGTTCCAATTACCACTCGAATTTTTGATAATCAAATAGCAATAATGATACCTGGACTCTTCCCTGTTCATACACTAATTTGCGGTTTCAGTGTAAATTTTCGTATGAGAGCATCGTGTATGCATAGCTAATTAATTCGTCCAACAAACTGCTATTTAATATTACATTAATTCCGAGTTCCATCGTGGCATATAATTTCTCTCTACCAAAATACAAATTTTTTAACTTTTTAATTGAAACATGTTTAAGAGCATAGATATTCAAATGAAAAATTTTGAGAAACAAGTAAAAATGTAGATACTTCGTTAAATCCCTATCTAATATCTTATTAATTCATATAAATTCTCTTTATAAAAATAAAAATTTCTTACATACTTTTGATTCAATATACATTTAAGTGAAAAGAAAAATTGAAATAAAAATTAAAATAAAAAGAAAAAATTAACAAATAAACAAGAATACACGTAATTTCTTAAACTATCATTTGATAATATATTAATTCAATCCTACATCAAAGAATTAATAATTTTTCTGTATGAGAATTGAAATTCTTTAAACAATCTTTGAGTCGATACACATTTAAGGAAAGGTATATTCGATTGGAAAATTTGGAAAAATATGGAAGAAAGCTTGGTTATTTTCTCGTAATTTCAAGCATCATATTCTTTCCACCTCGTCTTTATTGTTTGGACGCTAAGCACGATATCAAATTAAGCGCAACTCCATTTCCGTCCCTAACTTTACTTCCAATATCATAGTGTCGTAAATTGCATTAGTAGGTGGTCCAGGTCATAAAGCTACAAAAGATACCTCCGAGTTTGCCATCCTGTTACGGCAACTTCAGTTTAGAATCTCTTTATCCCTTAAGTACAGAATTAACGAAATCCTTATTGCTACTTACAAGGAGAGTGCAAGTCCTTTGGGTCACCGATTTTGGCGACACTTTGCAGATTTGTTGAAATCGTCATGCACTTTAAAAAAATATATCATTATAGTGGAAATTACTCAATAGTTTTTGAGATATTTATGATTAAAGTTCTATTACTCCACCAATTATACATTTATTTTTAACACTTTACAAGAGGAGTCGTGGCTTAACGGCGACAGTCGATAATTGTTATGATGGATGACCAGGGTTCGATTCCGGTTTATGATTAATATTTTTTTTCAATCTATTTTTTATTTTGTATTCATTTTTCGTATATGAAAACATTGTAAATAAAATTCCTTAAAAAAAAAAATTATTTTTTACCCTTTCTTATGTTAATATATATTTATTACTTAATAATAAGAATATTATGCAAGAGAAACACTTTTTTATAGTAATCTTATTTACTAGTAACTAATTATTAAATTAAACATTGTATAAGAATGTTGCTTATAATTTCAACTTTGCTATGTAGCTATAAATGTTCATGAATTAATAATAAAAACTTGGCAATTTATTAACTTTCTACTGTCGAATTGATATCTAGTATCCAGTTCGAATAAAAATTTTACCGCCTGCGATCAGCGCCACCTATGATTTTGGAATAGTTTCTCAAATAGTTTACTATCTCTGGTTACGTACACCTAATATATTTTAATTTATTTTAATAAATAAAATCATAAAATTTTCTACATTCTTTAATAAATTCAGCAGAAACAGCGGTTTTAATTAGACAATCAGCATTCATTTCTTTACCTGGCAGACAGAAAAATATACAAAGAAAAATATACAAAGGTACGCCTTTACAACGCAATTATAAAAGTTCATAAATTAATCACAAAAATTAAGTGATTTGTTAATTTTTCTCCAAGTGAACCGGAGAGGGCATAG